AGCTGCGCTGCATTTGTCACTGTCATCAGATCTGTGTGTATGTGTGCAGAGTGAGCACATACACATGTGTTTGATGTGAGTGTATGTATGTTTGTATGCGGTAAAAGGATACACTTGCACTTGTTTGTTCAGTGTGTGTGTGTGTGTGTGTGTGTGTGTGTGCATGGAAGGGAAGTTACGCTTATGTGCACATACTGTACACTTGCACCACGCACAGGAGCTGCACAGGAGCGGTGGTTAGAAAAGGGTGTGAGAGGGTAGGTAAGGATAATGTGTGTGTGTGTGTGTGTGGGTGGGTGGGTAGGTGATTTGATGCAGGGGGTTTGGAGGGGTTGAAAATCAATCGTTAGGAGACCCACTTCCCATCCCCATTGCTGCGGCAATGCCGAGATTCCATCAATGAGCCAGGGCTGCGTTGCCCCGGCAACGCTTATGAATGAGAGCAGGTCGGTAACCGTGGAGACTCGGCGAAGAGAGGACTCGCCGGTTGCCATGGCAATGCCATGGGCAGGGAGAGACCAGGCAAATTGAAGGTGGCGAGTGACCTCCGAGATGTTCATCATCAATCGTTATCGTTATCATCATCATCATCATCACACTGGTGTTCCTCTTTAGAGACAGAGACGACAGGATACACACACCTCAGTGTTTTAGATCTTGCTGGTAGTTTTCGACTGCTTTTGATTTTCTTTGTGTTGATATTTTGAAACTCTTCTTAATGTCAACAGTGGGAGGACATTTGGGGTTTTAAGGGAGCTATAAAGAAGTCTACCTTTACCAGCAATAAAAAAGTTGCGAATAAATAAACAGTTATATCAGAAAAAGTTGTCATAATCATAAATATAACAGCATAATAAAATCCTTACAATATCTTTTTGCTTTATGCTATGTATATGAAAAAGAAAGAAAGTTTTGAGGTTTAAGTTGTATACTCTTTTTACGACAGGGTTTTCCTTTTCAAAGTGACTGCAATGACCAAAAGTTCATGTTCATAACTTTTCAAATGTGGTGTGGGTGATATGTAGGTGATAATGCACTACAACTCCACCACGTGCCATCTTTTGACTCCACCCTGTCCATTATGCCTCATTGTGCATTTGCACTTATTGTAATTGATATACAGTTTGAGAAAGATGAGTTCAGGTACAACACAGCACAGTTTAAATTGTGTGTGTGTGTATGTGTGTGCGCTTTACAGGTTGATTGTTAGGTGTTTCCCAGCAGTGTGAGCCTCTGTCATCACTGTCCAAACACCTTCTCCCTCCGCAGATAAAACTCTCCCTCTCTTCCTCCCTGGAGTCTCTCTCTCTCTCTCTGTGCCTGTCTGCCTCTCTCTCTCTCTCTCATTGGGGTTTCTCTCTCCCTCAGCAGTTGAATCTCACACTTTTGACACGCAGGACTATCACTCTCTTTCAATCTGCTCACTCTTCCTCTCACTCCGCATCTCTGAAGGGATGCTCCATCTCTTCCCTCTCGGTGTGTATGTCATCAGGGACTCTCATCTCCAGTGACTCTAGTGTCAAATAGTCTAATAAGGACAAATATCTGTCATTTGAAAGAATGGTTTAGTAGGTTTTGGTCACTAAATGTGGGCTATATATAAGCTTGAGAGGAAAGAGGGAAATTGTGGAAGGCAGTTTTTAATTTAAGGAAAACAGTGGTGAAAAGAAGCAGCCCATGTGTGCTTTTCTCACGTGACAGCTACTGTATATGTACTGTATCGGTATCATAAATATGAATGCATACTACAGAGAGAGCTATGCATCTTCTGACTAGATGCAGGTTCAGCTGCAAGCATATGGACAATTAGCAAATGAAGCCAGTAAACAGGATGTCAAACAGCCTTCACTGAAGAGATAACATAACTAATAGTAGCCTATTTGGAAGAAGTAATTAACTTTAACAACCTCACCTACAGAGGAATGCTACTACTACATACTACATGTTTTCTTTTCCCCAAATTTCCAAAGTCTTCAACACTGACACAGTGTCATGATTATATGTTCATGGTTTGTCATCTTTTACAGCAATTAAACAATCCTTAAAACATGATTATTTTCATGTCACTCACACAACAACACAACTTACACAGCTTATTTAAGGTGACTGACACTATGGGTAAAATTGGGTGTTTCAAGAGTTGTGTTGAGTGATTAATGTTTTTTTTCTTCTCTCATCCAATAATGATACCTCCCCACTCTTCGAAGATTAAAGTAAAGGTCATGATAATATTAAATCAAATCTGATTATAATAGTCATAATAATGATCATAAGTCATTCCATATCCTTATTCAACCTCTTTCTCTTGCCATTTCTTCTTTTTCTGCTACTCTTGGTTTTCTTCCCCACCTGCCACTTAACTCCTACCTGTTCCTCCTTTACACTCATGTTGTTGTTCTCACTGTTTCCCTCATTTCTCTACTAACACCCCTCCATGCCCCTCCCCCTCAATCTCCATCACAACCAGCAGCAGTCGCTGCTCCCTCTACCGGCCCCCTCAGTGCACTGTGGGCAGGTTGAGCCGTTGCCAGGGGTGACTGCATCCTGGAGGTTTGGGTTGTCTGGCAGAAGCGGATGGTTGCCGTCTCGCACGGATGAAAATTGAAGCTCCGCATTCGCCCTCAAATGAGATGTTTGAGAGAAAGAAAAAGAAAAAAAAAGCAGTGAAATGGGACAAAAATAAACAGCGAACAAAAGGAGAGAAAATGAATGACAGAGAGACGGAAAGGCAGAGAAAGTCAGAATTTAGATTCAAGATATCAAAACAGACCCTTTGCTCTTTTGCGTCATCCCTCTACTCATCCATGCGTGAATCCAACTCTGAAACTGAAAATGCATCTGAAGCTTTAATGGTCCCAATGGGGAAGCAGCAGCAAATAGTAACAAGATACAGAAAAGAAAAATTTTAATTAGAAATGTCTATTAGAAAAGCCGTGGTTTGTGAGAATGTGAACAAAAGACTTAAAAGGTGGATTTTAAATTCAAACTACAACCGTAGATCCTCTTGTGTGCTTACACAGGGACCATGTCGGACTATAATCTATATGTGTGTCCTGTTGGATCTTTACTAGACCTGAGGCTGTTTGCTTATTTTGCTGAGGTCCAGTGTTTTCAGGTCTGCAGCAAGGCCTTTAGCCGTGGCAGTTAAAAAGCCATTGAGGGAATGAGGGGCTTGGCTGCCTGTACCATGTCTGTTAATAAATGACCTCTTACTGGAATTAGCAACCAACCTGGAGAGAGATGGAGGAGGGGGGTGGTGGGGGTGAAGACGATGAAGGATAGAACAGAAAGCGGGATGGAGGGAGGAAGAGATGCCGAAATTGAAGAAGTAGCTCAATTCATATTCACTTTCTGTGCCCCGCTTCCTATTTTTCAAAGTCGCCTGAATCTGTTTCTTTCCCATTGGCTTTTCTCGCTTCCTTTAGCTGTTAGTGTTGCTATAAGTGGTTAAATAGCATTTACTTCTGTTTACTTACCTTATGGTTGGAATCCACAAATCATACGGCACGATCAGGAATACTTGATGTGAGGGACTGCTCTCCTTTCTGTGGGACAGATTTTCTAAGCCTTTTGGCACAAAAGGAATTCTGGGAACACATGCAGATGCCTAGAAGAGCAGTTTGCCAGGCCTCTGAGGTGCACTCTGTGTGACAGCAGTGAGGTGCATCTCTTCCGTAATTGCAAATGCATTGAAGGTTGAGAAGCTTCACAGAGTTGGGGATAGATATGATAAATGATGATACGTGTGACTGATTACACATTCTGTTGGATAAGGTTTAGGCATTTGGATGGCCATGTTTTGTATGGAAATTATTGTCAGTCCACATAGCACAGGTGTATTAAAAAGAGAGGATGCAATGGTGGAAAACTGTAATTAAAACCATTGTATTGCACCTACTAAGGTCTTCTACACTTGGAGGTGTAGTCCCAGGCACCGTGTACTGCTGCACAAATTTCCCCTTGCATTTTCATTTTCAGGTGTGTGTAAGGACATAAGGAAATATATCCTAAGCACAGGAAGTGGTCAATCATAATCACGTTGGCATCTGATTAGTGCTGAAGTTAAAAGAGCTGCCAACACACTAAATTGCTAAGTGCAACTGCAAAAAATATACAGTTTTATTTTATTATCACTTGTTGTTCTGTCTTCTAACGATGCCTGATTTAAGGTCAGAGTCTGCCTATGTATTGTGCTCCTCCCCTTCGTTTCTCTCTCTCCTCCTCCTCAGAGCATCCCCTCTCTACGCCCCCGCACTTCCCCCTCCCCCTAGTGTTGGACAGACCCTGCCTTCCGCCCCCGCACGAGACAGCGCATGGAATTTTCCAACCTGTCTCTGGCTGACTTTACACCAGAGCTTCACACACACACACACACACACACACACACACACACACACACTATAGAACCGGAGGTGCGTCTCTGCAGCCAGGTTAAAGATGGGCAATGTGACAGTAGTGGCAAGAGCCATCATACTGTTACTGAATTACTGATTACTACAATTATTCCTGTTTTAACTGTCAATTTTAACCTTAGTTATAAGGTACATATTCAATCTTCAACTTCATGTAACTACATTCTGTGTAGAACATGGAGTGGCAATACCATAGCTGTTCATAACATTTGGGAATTTGACAAAGAAATCTCCACTCAAGGTCCACAATCAAAATAACTGCATTAAACAGCAGATTGACTTTGCTGGAAAGTTTGACAGGTAGCACGTTGGTAGGTATACAAGGTTACCTGGTTTAAGTGTTTTTGTGTCCACCTTCATTTGTCTTCGCTCAACATGCCAATGTCCGTGAAATATGGGTCAGAAGTTTAGGTATTCTGTGCTGAAGCAGTGTGTTAGACGATAATGTTGCAGCTATAAATCAAATGAAGCCGGCTGTGACAAGCATGTTTTAGCAAATGTCATTAATCAGAAAGACATTGCCTGTTGCACTTATTTTTGTTCTGATGTCTCCATTGTCTCTCCCTCCCTCTTGCTGTCCCTCTGCAGTATTTTGTCGTCTGTGGGTTCTCAGCTTGACCTGAGGACACTGCGAGCCGTCAGAGTGCTACGGCCACTGAAACTGGTGTCAGGGATTCCCAGTAAGTTTGTGCACGCTGCCTTGTATGCTTTAACTACAGTAACTGCAGTCTCTGTCATATATTACAAATAGTTCAATACTGCTGTATTCCTCCTTTTTTTTGCGCCTCCTCTGATTGTTGTTGTGCACTGTTTCCTCCAGGCCTGCAGGTGGTGCTCAAGTCCATCATGAAGGCTATGATTCCCCTGCTGCAGATTGGCCTGCTATTATTCGTGGCCATCCTCATGTTTGCCATCATCGGCCTGGAGTTCTACATGGGAAAGTTCCACACTACCTGCTACGACGAAGTCACACGTAAGAAAAACATACAAATTACATGTGGCCTCTCAGGTTAAGACGATCACTGACACAGTTGTCTCTGGTTAGTTTAAACACATTTCAATCTATTGTCAATGGCACTAAAGTCCAAAAGGCAACCCGTTTCACAGCAGACATTTTGACTTCATAGCAGGAAACGCATACATGTAGCTAGAAATTAATAGTGTTATTTAGTTACTTTGTCCATCAGTAAATAGAGTTTAGGCAGAGCAGGACATCAGAGGAAACACTGAACAGCCAACCCTTTTTGCAAGACATACTGAACCACCTCCAAAAACTTGAGCGGGAGAATCGGCGTGCCGTTGTACTTGGTGGGCGGGCTGGGCCTGGAGCAGATAGCCAAGTAAAGAAATTCGTCACAAGCCGACGTCAGCTCATTGCACAAGAAAAAGAACGTTGGAACCCTAATATTCAGAGCAGTTTTCATATGTTTATCTCATTACTTGAAACTTTGGTCAGGTTTAATGTGAACATCTGACATTGTAGCATTATATATATGACAGAAAATAAGGAAAAGCACAGTAGGTCCCCTTTAATGTGAAATAGTACCACTTGTGCTCTACTAATTGAACTAATTGGCCTATTGAGCCCCACCATGCACAATACCAGGGCCCTGAAAATGGCACACCTGTGTGAAACGCATCCTTTGTTAATGTTATTAATTACTCATCAAAATGTCCGCTGTGAGACAGGTCTCTCATTCTCTCTTTCTGTCTCTCTCTTTTTGATCAGGAGAGGTAGTGGACGAATTACCATGTGGCACAGAGTTGCCGTCCAGGTTGTGTCCTAATGGCACAGTGTGTAGAGGTGGCTGGCTTGGACCAAACTACGGCATCACCCAGTTCGACAACATCCTGTTCGCCGTGCTCACCGTCTTCCAGTGCATCACCATGGAGGGATGGACAGACATGCTCTACTACGTACGTTAGCCTGTCCAGGGAGCCAAACGTAACATTTAATAACAAGTAGTTTAGTTTACAGTCCCACCGAAACACCAGAATATTAATAACACCCTTAATTTATAATTCTTGTAAAACACATTTGCTACTGCTAGTAACAAACTAAGTGTTGATCATGATCCAAAATGTTTGTTTGTTCTTTACTGTAGTCACATATACCCAACATACACATTTGAATTGAAACACATTTTTCAATAAGTTGTTATAGTTTGTCCAAACATACATTTTTACTTAAGCTATGCCAAACTTATTGTAGATATGGGTTGCTAGTTATGCTATCCATGGCAACAGAGAATCCGCCTTCATAAACCACAAGTCTTATCGCCCTTCTCACAGTTATCATAGTGGTGTTTCTCTCTGTTCTCTGTATTAGGTTTGTACTGTATGTTTTTTAGCACACTGAAGGACTCGGGGGTGGGTTGGTGTGCAGGCTGATGATTGGCTTGAATTTCATTCAGCTAAATGAGGCATAACGTAGTTTGAGATTTGATTCAAAACACCATTTATTTGTCCAAAAGCCATTTTCCATCCCTCTCTCTCTTTATCATTCTCTGTTTGACTTCCTTTATCCGTCTTCTCATCTGTCCTTTTGCCTTCGGAGTCGCTCTCCTTCTCTCTCCGCCTCCTTCTCTTCCACTCTCTATTCTGGTCCGTCTCGCTCTATATTTAACATCTTTTCTGATGGATGGAGGCTGACTTCCACTCTCACACAGTCAGGAGGAAACCAATGAAAGTTTAATAGAGAACGGGCTGCTTGCTCTGTACCGTGCAGTATAAAACCTAACAAATGCACACAGCACTCCAGCAGCAGATAATAATCAGCTGATAGTTCCATTTAGGCGTTACACGGGTCACAGAAACACAATATCCTTCAGTAACCTGATTCCTCTGATTGTCGGCTGAGTTCGTTTAGTGAAAGAAGGAAATGACACAGTGTCAGTCAGTTTTGTTGCTGTTGGTGTGCTAACTAGACACCTCAGTGCGATCAATGCTGTGTGAAAGCAGGAGATGCTGTAACGTAACACAGTGTGTGTGTGTGTGTGTGTGTGTGTGTGTGTGTGTGTGTGTGAAGTATGTCTCTGTGTTGCTGTTTCTGCGCACAAATGCAACATCTCTGCATCCAGGACAGGCTATAAGATAGAAAATGGGTCACTCCTGAGCCAGCATAATATACATACTTTAGTTCTCCTTGGTTCTTGTGCAGTCCAGAGAAAAGTTGCTAACATCATTTCAGCCTTAGTTCACTTAACACAGACACACTGCCTAAAACTGCATCAGCTTCAAACTGACACAATAACATAACAAAAGATTGTTTTCAATCATTTAGATGAATGAGTGACTATTAAAGGTACCCTGTTGTGTTTTTGACCACTGCTACTGCTATGGGGTCATGTTATTAGGTGTGGCTCCCCACCGACTTCACATCACGTTGATGGAGTCACGCTATTCCACTGTGTGGTGGCAGTAATAGGCCAACAAACATAGTTAATGTGCCAACAAAGGCAGTGAAGAAGACAGCTAGCAAGCAAACATTGATATACTGTAAAAAGAAAAGGAAATGCATTCAACACATTTGTAAAACTCAAGGATACATAGTGTATTCTGGTGAGAAGCTTAGTATAAAAATGAGTGTATAGCTTCTTTACAAGAAAACACCACAGGGCACCTCTAACGTTGGACTGAGAAAGGTAGCCCGTGTCTGTCGAAGATAAAAAATTAGAACAAACAGACGAGAATCTGTTCACAAGAAGAGCAAAGGTGCAATAAACGAGAACATTTCTGACCTTTCACATCATCATCACAGTAAGAGACCATACAGATTTTTATATATTAGATTATCAGTAATGAGTCTGTCTGTGTCTCTGTCTGTCTGTGTGTGTGTGTCTCTGTTTTCTTTCTTGCAGAGTAATGATGTGGAGGGCAGTGCCTGGAACTGGATGTACTACATCCCTCTCATCATCATCGGCTCCTTCTTCATGCTCAACCTGGTGCTGGGTGTACTCTCAGGGTATGGACACTTATGTTCTCATGGTTAAACTTTCCTCCTCTTGTCTTTTTTAAAAATATATAATACTATATACCCCTGTATGCTTTGTGTAATTTGATGAGCCAAACAAAATGGAAACAATGACACATGTGCCCACAGTGAATTTGCCAAAGAGAGAGAGCGAGTGGAGAACAGGAGCGAGTTCCTCAAGCTGAGGCGACAGCAGCAGATTGAGAGAGAGCTCAACGGATACCTGGAGTGGATCTGCAAAGCAGGTCAGTGCACACTGACAAACACACTCAGATACTGGCACACACTGCTCGTTCCCGTGTACAGATACACCGTATGTGGGAAAACCAACTCAATCCTGATGCATCAGTGTGCTTACATTTTACTTTCTTATTTTCTTGTACAGAGGAGGTGATTTTGGCTGAAGATGACGCCACAGGGAACTTTGATGGTAATTGACCTTTTTTAATTGTGTGTATGTTTACTGACGGACAAAAAGCTGCATGCTAAGGACATTAGTGCAGCCAGTAACAGCCAGAATATGAAGACAGAGCCACACAGAGAGTTGTGCCTTCACAGTGACAGCTTGTATCAGGAGGAGATTTGTACAAATATACTATGATGCATGTCTTGTCTTCAACGTTTCTTCCTAGAGGATAAATAAGAATACCAGACACTGTAGACTGCCAACACATCTTTAAGCTAACTGTTATGTAGAACAATATATGACTAAGCAACTTCAGAATGTGGGATTTAGCACAATACACCTACAAGTGACAGACTGTGGGAAGGGTAAGATGCTAACATTTGAGAGATAGACAGATAAAGAAACAATCCTTTTTTCTCATGCTAGGTTCGAGGCGAAGGCCAACCATCAAAACCAAAAACAACAAGACAGAGCTGCTGAACCCTGAGGAAGGAGAGGACAACATGGGAGACGCAGTAGGTAAGAAAAACAGAGGGATGGGTAAGTGCATGCAGGGGATGGAGACATGGGAGGATAAATTCAGCTCCAGTTCAGGTAGAAACATTCTGTTCAAGGCAAACAACTCGCAGCGCTTTTGGTTGATTTGGTAAATGTAAATGTAGGACCTCTTCTTGGGGTAGGCATGGGATGATTTCATGTCACGATTATCCTGGCCAAAATAATTGAAGTTAACAGTATTATTATTATTATTATATTATAATCTTAAGAAATTATTGCATCACAGATAGGACATCTCAAGATAGGCACTTGATCTTCATTCTGAATCCATAGTGGTTTCCACACATGTTATGTTAACTTGTTTAACTCACAATTAATTCACAACTATGGAAATTCACCCAAATGAACTTTGACTGTTGTTTTATTGCGATAAAATCATATATCGTTCCATTCCTAAATTTGTTAATCTCAGGTCCGAGTTGTGAAATGGGAAATACAATTGAAGAGAGAGAGATTTCTCCAAACAAAGAATCAGTCAAACTCAACTATGTCATGTCTCCCTCCCCTCCTCTCAGGTTTTGCACGCTCCAGTATAAAGAGCGGTAAGGACGGCAATTACAATAAGACAGAGCGACGAATGCGATTCTTTATCCGCAAGATAGTGAAGACGCAGGCTTTCTATTGGACGGTGCTCTGCCTGGTGGGCCTCAACACCATGTGTGTGGCTGCGGTGCATTACAACCAGCCTGAGCTGCTCTCCGACTTCCTCTGTGAGTAAACACACACATGAAACCCTCAATATACACAGGTACACATCCACACATACTGCACAGCGTTTAAACGAACCCGCTAGCAGATTACACTTTACTATCAACTACAGGAGCTTCCAGGAATCTTCTGAGAAACTCGGGAATTTTGCACTTTGACCCGAGGAACATGGCTCCAGTTTTGGTTTCTAGCTTTGGGTTCTGGGTCAAGCACAACGCTTAGACTGCAACAATAAGGGAACAGCAAGTCCAAACAACCTATGGCTGTGTCAATATTAGAACTTGGGATGGGATAAAGTTAGTTCTGCTGAAATAAACGACTTGCCAACAAGTCTTAAAAAGCAATATTGATGGTTAAATTAGAAATAAAACCTACAATATAACTCTATTTGCTAACATTTTCAGTGCAGCTGACACAAACGTTCTGTGCAGTTTGATGTCGGGTCACGTAGCATCGCACCAATTTGCATGTAAATTCTGAGTTTGGCATTTATTCTTAGAAGCATAGATGGAGTTTCCAAAGGAACACATAGGCTACATAGACAATACTGATCCATTATTAAGGTGCAGTCAAACACATACACTCACTGGTCTTAATGAACATTTGCGACATTTGCGACAAAAGTGCATTTCCTGTTTTTGGCCAGTGTTGTGTTTCGTGTTTTTGTGTCTGCACAGTATCTCTTCCTCATGTTCCTCACACCTGTGTCATCACATCCTGTTTCGGTGCTGACTTTGGGACACATTTGTTGGACTGATGGCAGATACGACCGTACCTTTATGTTACCAAATTCAACAGCACATCTACATCTGAAGCCAGAATATTTTTACAGTTTGGCTTTTCAGTTTAATCACCACTGCTGTCCACACACACCTCGTCCCAACCTGAATCATCTTTTTACACTTCAAATCTACTGTTTCCTCCTACACATGCAAACAACGCATTTACAATTTGAACTCCTTTAAATAGCAGAAACATGTTGCATTTTCTCTACTAACCAGTATCTGGTCCATCATCGCCTTCTTTCACATCCTCCTTTTGAAGAAAAAGAAAATGTTCGTTTGTTTAAATGTGTATAGTTTTTGTTCATTTTGGTGATAGCTGGTCAGCTTGACAGTATGACAGTAAGGTTTCAAGTAGGACACTTAAATATTGTACTTTATTCACTGTTGTCTTTGATTGTGCTGTAAATAAAATCCAGTACATTCAGCATGAGCTTTGTAGCTGCAAATTGTACAACATTTGTAGTAACTGTTTAACAAAATAAGTATAGAAAGACTTGTATCAATGATATACAATGCTATATATCACATATTCTTTATTTTAATTCTAGGTGCAGACATGACCAGACATGCACACTTACACACACACGCACACACACACAGGGCACGCACACACACACACACACACACACACACACACACACACACACAAAGACACACAAGGCCCTCGATAGAGTCAGCTTGTTGGCCCTGGCCGCTGTCCAGTGTCATTAGCATATGAAGCTGTAGCTGATGGAGTCCATTCATCACCAGACTGTCATACACCGCTGGGCTCACACCTCTATTGACTTCCTCTCATCTAACTCTCTCTCTCACTCTCTTTCCCTTCTTTCTGTTTTGTTTTTTCCTATCCTCCCTCAATTTCTTTGTCTTTTAATCTCACTTCTCCGTCTCTCTCTTGCGCTTTTGTATTTCCTTCATCTACATTTCTTCTCCTCCTCCCCCCTCCTTTTTTCAATCCACTCTTTATCTCTCTCCATGACCTCACTCTCTTTCATTTTCACCTTCCACTGTCCTCCATTTAACCCGCTCTCCACTCCTGTCTTCTCGTTTCTGCCTTCTCTTCCTCCCTCCTTTCCTCCTCTCTCTCTCCTTCCTCCCTCCAGTCTATGCAGAGTTTATCTTCCTCGGTTTGTTCATGTCTGAGATGCTGATCAAGATGTATGGTCTGGGCATCCAGCCCTACTTCCACTCCTCATTCAACTGCTTCGACTGTGTGGTGAGTGCACACACACACACGCACACACACACACGCTCACACTGTAACTGAGTGAAAAAATAAATTGCGCTCATAACTATCAGGTTTTGATGACAAATCCAACACTCCATTTAATCAACAGATTTGAGAAATAGATTTTTCTCATGTTGCCCTGCGACAAATGAACAATGAGCAGATTCAGCGCCGCGTTTCTCACCAATACATGTGCAATAACTGCGCATTAATTTGTCATGCTGACATTGTTGCAGAGGCTTATTGGCAGGTTACTTAATATTAAATGCTGATATACAGAACCTGGTAAAGTGTTACATACTGTGTTCAGTCAGCTGGCAGCCAATGGAGGTATAGACTCTCAGTGCATTTGTGTACGGTTCTCACCTAAAAAGTGTTTGTTCTGGGATTTAAGTTAGTATTTATTCATAAGTCAGATTGTCTATTTCGGATCTAGTTACAAGTTAGTAAATAAGGAGTTTGATGTGCTTCTGCAGAGAATGCACGTAGTAATTGAACATGCCAGATTTTAAAAAAGCAAAAATATTCCTGCAGTGTCAAGAAATCAAATGACTGAATCAAGACACGGTTTCACATGCACAGCAGAAATTAATTTTTAAAATTATAATTCATCAGAGCACCACAAACACCCTGAAAGTGCTCAACAGGATCTGACTGTACTACATTTGTTTGTGTGCCTCTGCAGGTAATCGTGGGCAGTATCTTCGAGGTGGTGTGGGCCACCATTAAACCAGGCACGTCCTTTGGGATCAGTGTGTTACGAGCTCTGCGACTGCTCCGCATCTTCAAAGTCACCAAGTGAGTCTCTCTCTCTGTCTCACGCACTCTTACATATGCATGCCTGTCCATAATTCAACTGTGCAAAAATCAGACGATTACGATAATGAGGATCATGATGACAAACCGAGGTTGTGGTGCTGAAGAGATTTTGGTGTTTTAATTTGAAAATATTTTCACTGTTGAAACAACTAACCATTTTGGGGTTTTTGGCTCTTTGATACTTGCTTGATGCACCCTTTAGGAGACATTTTACTGTAATTGGATTTGGCTCACGCACATTGTTGTGTTTGTTGGTGTTTAACTTCTTTTCTTGCCATGACGCTGCTCATTTGGACAAATCTTTTTACAATTATGACAATCTCATTGAAAATGAAACTTGAATCATGAAACTATATTATTGCCACCAGAGTTTATTGTCAATCCTCTATACAGTTAGAGCTTAATTAGAGCTCTGACTCTCTCTGAACCCAGTTGGTTTTGACCAGATGTGACCAGATGTAACTTCCTCTATGTTAAACTGATGTTGGTTTGAAGAAGGATGCGCTGATCAAAACTTTACTGGACTACAAATAGAATTGTACTGTGGTGACCGTATCGAAAATAATAAAAAAATAAGTCAATACTAAATGGAAAACATCATAAAATATGTTTTATCATTTGAAAATGTGTTTGCATTTGAATGCACTGGGCATTGTTTTTAATAGTCAACATGATTCAGCATGTTATTGTTGGGGGTTTTTGGCAGACAAGTATCAAAATCAAAATAGTAGCTAATGATGATTATTATTAATTAAAATTTGGCAATATATTTTGTCCCTATACTCAATCCATATATCCACTGGAAATAGTTGAGACGATTCTTCTCCTCCTCCTTAGGTACTGGGCACCTCTTCGAAACCTGGTGGTTTCTCTGCTAAACTCCATGAAGTCCATTGTCAGTTTGCTCTTCCTCCTCTTCCTCTTCATCGTGGTCTTTGCCTTGTTGGGGATGCAGCTGTTTGGAGGACAGTCAGTATCAACACAAAGTTAGAAACAAGCTCACGGTGCTGTATTATTATTATTGTATGTGACTAAATCCTTTTCTTCTCCTCAGATTCAACTTTGTAGGCGGAACCCCTCCTACTAACTTTGACACTTTTGCAGCAGCGATCATGACGGTGTTTCAGGTAGGAAAGAGACAAAAATAAATGATGAAGGTTGTTCTCTGAACACAGATTCATTTGTAAAACTCTGCTGTGGCATTCTTTTACATGTATATGTTCATCCAACACCAGGACAGTTACATTTTATAAACTGTGAGCTATCTCTTTGCTGAACTCTTACAAATCAAAGAATATTATTACTTTTACTTTACATTGTTTTGTGTCAATTGTTAATCCGAGTAAAACTTATTTATTTAGCCTCATGAATTGGATTGTATGGTTTAAAAGTCTGTCTTTTTACAAATAAGGTACCAGTGAGTTACTGTATTTTCCAAACATGACAGTAAGCACACTCATACACACTCATGTACATGTTCGAGACAGCTGAAGCCCTTTTCAAGAGTGACATTTAATGATGCCCATTGTTGTTGTGTCATCAGTTTGTCAGATGACTTGTTCAGTCCTGACTGCAGTCTCCATGTTTCTGTGTTCTCCCTACTCAGAGAGACAGACAGCTTTTGTAAAGAGCCATTTGTGTTGCTGTATTGTCGCGGAATGACTCAGAGGCCAGCTGTGTGTGTGTGTGTGTGTGTGTGTGTCTGACTCTGTATGGTGATGTTCACGTGCAAGACGTATCTTTGGGATTGAGGCATTGTAAAATCAGAATTTATATTTTATATTATATCAAAATGATTTAGAAAAAGGGTTGTGATGGATTTAATGTATTATTTTCAGATTTTCAGACATGAAAAAGTTGTTGTGGGATGTAAACATAGTTTTTCAACTTATATGCTTGGGGTTAAAATGCATAAGTTATGCTCATTTCCTCATTCATTAAACAAAGAAAAACAACAACAAAAAGTGGGGAAACTACTGAAGGATTACAGAGCAAATTATACTTTTCAATTTCAAGTAAATACCAATAAAGTCCGGATTAATGTGACCAACCTGTTGTCTCTCTGTAGATCCTGACAGGAGAGGACTGGAACATGGTGATGTACGACGGCATTGAGTCCCAGGGAGGAGTGAACGACAAAGGGATGGTCTTCTCCATCTTCTTCATCGTCCTTACACTGTTTGGCAACTGTATCCTGCCTGCATGCTCACACATACATATGTATACACAAATGTGCAATATGCATGTCTGTGAATATACACAGACAGACTTTTTTGAGCTTTCGCAATGATTATGAAATGTACATGATGATTGGTGTCTTCCTTTTTGAACAATACAATTCCACTTCCTCTCTTTCCTCTCACTATCTCTCTTTTCCTCTCCCCTCCTCCTTCTTCCTGAGAAACTGTCAGCTTCCTCTAAGGTCGTCCTGGCATCGATATTTCTCCTTAACTTCTGCCACCACAGACACTCTGCTTAACGTCTTCTTGGCCATCGCTGTCGACAATCTGGCCAATGCCCAGGAGCTCACCAAGGTACAGGATCAAACCCCCAAAAATACATTCTCCATTTTATTTGAAGAGAAATTGTTTAGTTTGGACCTAAACAAAGTGCACTAGTTGACTCTTGATTAATCTGTAAAATATTGATGATACCAGGAAGTTAGATTATGTCTTCAAATGATGTCAAAATTAATTTAGCATTACTGACTACAAACAGGACTTGATATCACTTGGCTTTGGTCGCTGTTTTTTTTTTTATTTCTTAAATGTTTAGTGCGTTGAAATTTACCAGGATCAAGTGACTGAGATGATTATCTTCTTCTCCAATAGGATGAGGAGGAACAAGAGGAAGCAGCCAATCAGAAGACAGCAATGCAGAAGGCTAAGGAAGTAGCAGAGGTCAGCCCGCTGTCAGCAGCCAACCTGTCTATTGCTGCGTGAGTACACACACTCGCATTCAAATGCCATACCGTGTGCACAAATATACTGTAACATGTGCACACACTCCTCTAAAACATAAATACTTACAAAATATAAAATCGGCTTCCTAGAAATTACGTTTGTAAAGCACTTTATTGTTTTTTAAACACACGCTGAAATAGTCATACCTGCCTGGAGTGCACAGTACGTTTATTTAACGCAGTGGAGTCACACCACAGTGAAAGGTTCAGGTCCAGAGCCTGCAACAAAAGCTCTTTGGTTAATGTCAGGGAAAGAACATGATTTCAGTTAAATGTTAATAAAAAATCTTGTTTGAGTTTTGAATAATGCTGTAGTAGATAGTATTGCAAGATTGCTTTTTTTGGAGGGAAAGAAATGAAATACATTGTCAGTGAACATTTTACTGATAAGTTCGGTATCAACATTTCTGTGACTTGGCAGGTATGTTAATTACCAACATTTCCTTATTATGTTAATAGAAAATGTCAGCATTATGTTTCCGAAAAACATATTTGCTGTTGTAAATTAGTTGTATATAAATGTAATTTCTAGGAGACAAGGCTGAATATATGTATCTATACAAATATATATACTGTACATACATTTTACTGTACATGAACAGAAAATTACCCAAAAATACACATGCGTATGCTCACACTGATATACAAAATATTGTCAGACACACATGCACACACACACACCTCTCTCTCTCTCTCTCTCTCTCTCTCTCTCTCTCTTCCTCACTCTTTTTGAAAAACTACACACACACAGAAAGCACTGTTTCTTTCTCAAATCTGTCTGTCCTAACATTTAAGATTGACAGGCATTCATGTCCACGTGACTCACACACACACACACACACACACACACAAACACCCACCATCACACTCTCCCCGTGCTCATCCTCTAAAACATGATTAAGCGATTGTTCTGAGAGTGAAAGGAACAGATTCGGGGCTTTTGTGAAGTGAATAAGAGCGAGAGGCGGACAGTCTGTAAATTCTGCTCCCGGCAGCAGAAACGCCGACAATAAGACACATCAAAATGATTCCCACAAAAACCCTGCTGCTCCTTTAGAAGTCACCGGACTCTTCGGTCATTGTGGCGAGCCTTTGATGGCTAGATTAAAAGTTGGTGTGCTACAGCCGTGCTTGTCAATTAGACACTAACTTGTCAGTTGGAAAAATGAGCTCATAAGCTTCCTTTCAATCACAGAACACATCATCAAATTGACATGTAGCACAGCACAGAGATTCTTGTATTTCATGTTTTTACACATGTATGTTTCCCATGTATTTGGAGTCAAAAGAAGAATGACAGTACAATCAGCATTAACCCGCTGATTCAACTGTTTTGTTATTTTCAAAGCCTTTCAGATGAACAGCTCTGGTACAGTAACACAACATGGTGACACTCCTTCACTCTGTTTTTGGTCACATACTCACAAGCTCTTCTGCCAAGAGCTTGGAACTAGTTGGTTTTGGGACTAGTGAAAGACTGGTTAACATTTCTCATTGTCACATTATGTTTTTTGGGCTCGACATCTTCTAAAACATTCTGAGACATTGTATGTCTTCTTGTCTTCTTGGCAGACTCTGTCCCCAGTCTGCGTTAAAGATGTCTAAAGGCGCTTTCCACTCATTTCTATTCTTTCTGATTTTACCTCCTCCATGGCAGCAAACATGATGCATGAGCCAACAGAAAACTCCTGGGGTCAAACTGGTTTTACTAGACACTTTTAAGGTGGACTAACTCTAGCAGATTCCATTATGATGGACAGATAGGGACCATGGATGTATTATAAGAAATGGATACTGAACTTCAACAATGCCTGCATAAGTAAAAAGAAAAAAATGTCTCACCTCCTGGTTTGCTTCCACATTGTGTGGCTCATTAGTGTTTCTCCCCCCAGTGAGTATCCAGTCCTCATATAACATCCATGACAGACACTCACTAGGCTAGCCAGAGAAAGGATATAAACAACCCGAAATGCAACACAAAGTGACAGGTTCACTCTGTAACACACAAGCTGGTATTGCTACATTCATAGAGAACATAAGCAGTTATGAATATGTAAATGTTCTTTTTTTCATATTTATTATTATTCATATTCAATGGGAAACTTCTTTGTCTCAGCCATTTTCCCCTGCTTTGATGTAGTTCACAGCTCATGCTTCCTTCATTCACAGTCTACTCAGTGTTACATGGTTTTACATTGAAATTGCAGATTGAGTATACCTTTATAGCCACATATGCTTTATTCATTTTTGTACTGAATTTCTTTCTTTTTCTTTTTAAGGGTATACTGTTACTACTTCCTGTTGCTGCTAATTTCCCACAGGGATCTCACAGTCTCTATTCTCCCATCATCCTTCCCATCTCCACCATCCCATCTGTTTTTGTTTTTTTTCTTCTTCCTCATCACCTCCTCTCCGTCTCTGTTTTCCCATCTTGTTTTCTTCCCTCTCTTTCCTCCACTTTTCTAAACCTCCTCACTCGCCTTTCCACTCTTATTTCCCCTTTAAATCCCCTTTCCTCCTCCCCATCGCACCTCCATCAACACCTCTCAACAGTAAGGAGCAGCAGAAGAACCACATCAAGGGTAACAAGTCAGTGTGGGAGCAAAGGACGAGCGAGATCCGCCGTCAGAACCTGATGACGAGCCGCGAGGCGCTCTACAACGAGCTGGAGCAAGAGGACTGGAAGGTGGGAGGGGAGGGAGAGGAGGTGAGGACCCCCCAAAAAAAAACACACATATACACATATATATGCAGTCTACTCCTGATATATATGGTGAATATTTGTTGTAACGTGTGTAAAGTGATGTGATTGGTTATTTCAACCACTTAAAGGGACATTATCATCCATGTTCAGTTGGGGCTCTAGACACGTCTAGAGCTTCAAATCATTTCACCTCACCATCTGTCTCAGCCAATGAACAACTCTTGGCTGTCAATTGAAAAAGCTCTTAATGAAAAATTGGAAGTGACCAGATGCACATTTGATGTCAAATATTAACAGATATTCAGATTTCTTGTCATTTGTAGCAAGTGACATCAAAACTTACATAAGCATTCGACCCAAGATATGTTTATATATATATGTATATACCCAATATAAAATGGACCTGAAAGTGTTTGTCAATTGTTCCCCAAGAGTTGAATTACTCATTCCATGAGTAATGTCAGGTGTGGACAGAGATGAAACAGACTTTTCAACAGTTCAACACTGCTTTTCAGCAAGTTACTCTTTAATTATGTGTAGTGATCTACAGTGGAAACAACACCAGGGCCTGACCTGCTTTTTATCACTGCGTATTCTGGGTCATGCTGCACTTCCACAGATGTTTTGATTCCAGGGTGTAATGTCCCTTTAAGCTTCTGAAAGAGTGTTGTTATTGCGCTAGCCGCTGCTATATGGGACGGCTTGAAGCTGTGTGCTTGGGAGCAATGCATTATTAAAGTGGGGCATGCAGAGAAATCCAGAGCTGTACCCAAAGAAGGCAGCGGACTCAAAACTGGAGCGGGGCGAAGTGTAATGCACTTCAAAAAGAAGATGATCGGGAGTCGACTGGATATGGCTCGGCAAACTGTATACCATTGTGCCATTTTATGGTTCTGGAAATGTTCATGACAATTTGGATTTAAAATTGTTCATGTGGAACCAAAAATGGTGGCCTGTTTGCCGAACTGTGTATATCTGTGGCTCGGGGGAGGGAACAGGGTGGGGGTATTGTAAGTTAGGTATAAACTGCCTGAATGAAGGTCACAGTTGGCTTATACTGTGTCCTTTGTACCAGCTTTGAAGCAAACAGCCACAGGAACCTAAAAACCATGCACATGCAACTGTGATGTAATTTGCTGAGATTAATGAGCCTCTGCTCCTTGAAATCAACAAATAAGGAATTTTCTTCATCATTGCAGCTATATGGTTTTTGTTTGTAATTAGCAAACTGCTTCTCATTAATTTGTCCTTTCTGTCATTTAGTTGTGTAAACAACCTTAAAATGCACAATGATTCTAGTCAATGTTTGCATTAGGTCCTAATATTCCTGCCATCTGAAGGACTGCCTTTAATTAAACTGTAAAATCATCATCTGCTCAGGAACTATGTCTGATTTATATACTGTACATGTGACAGCTAGTGAATGACAGGAAGACAAAGTAAATTACAGCTAAAATGTCTAACAAGAAACAAACAAATTACAACTACATGACTCAGTCTCATAGCAATTTCGTTGAATGTGGTGATGAAAGGTTCCACCAATCAAAGAAAGGATATCCCATATATCATTGTGAATTAGTGTGAATGTTCCAACAGTTTTATCACCAAAGTTATCACAAACAGATAAACTCAACCGACTACATTAACTACCAACACTGATTGTAAACCTACACAAAACAAGACAATTTCCCCTTGAAATTCCCTTCAATTCCATTGCATTGTGGTTGTATGAGACGCTTTGGAGGCCAATATCTCTTGAAAACAAAACTATCATGCATGGCTAGATAACACTTGCGGTAAGTAGGAAAAGCCCATGTGTCTGATGTTTTAGCAGCACCCACTGATTCCAACTGCTACCCTATTACCCTCACCCAGGTGTCCTACCCACGGAAAGCACGTGGTGATATGAAGACCCACCTGGATCGGCCACTGGTTGTCAACCCGCAGGACAACCGCAACAACAACACCAACAAGACCCAACCTGGTGAGCTGCCTCTGGACCAGGAGTACCGGCGCCAGGACATTGACCACTACCACAGAGCCACCCACTATCACCACCACCACCATCATCAGAAAGCCACAGGGCCAGACAGTGGAGGAACAGGCCAGCCAGCAGAGACCCGCATGGAGCGTGGCTTCAGCTGCACTTCTCTGGGCAACGTGGAAGGCCAGCAGGGGGAGGAGAGGCACAGCCACAGGAGCCACCGGGGCCACAGGCACAGGAACAGGGAAGGCAGGGAAGCTCGGAGCGTGTCTCCCCACCAGGGTGAAGGGGGAGAGGGGAACAACGAACACAGGAGGTCCAGGCAGCACCGCAGGGCAGCCAAGGAGGGGGAAGACGGCAGGAGACACAGATCCAGGGGGACAGAGGGAGAGGGGGAGAAAGGAGCAGAAGGGGAGGGACGGAAGACGAGACGGCATCGCCACGGCAACCAGGAGAGGAGCAGAGGGCATCGCACCAGAAAGTGAGTGAAGGAAGGGTTTATTTTCTCCGTGTGAATGTCTCAAATTACAACCTGGCTGGCATTAAATGCCAGTTAAGTTTGTCTTTGTCTAAGGAATCAGGAAACGACCTGACACTCTGGCCAGTAACTTTCCAAGAACATTTGTGTACTAAGGGCTCTTTGTGCATTTGTCATTGGGAACTCAGCCGGTAGCACATCACAAATGTATGGTTGGTTTTGTGATGGTATATAGTGACTGTGTGAAGCTGTTTATTCTGGTGTACTTTCATTTTGAAGATTCTGTGCTGGCCATCAATGTGCCTAGCGCTAACTGCTTATAGAGTAAAAAAAAAAAAACAGATTCTTCACTTTATGAATTTATGTACTCATTGCTTGCAGTCTTCCTCAACCTGATATCATGGAAATGAGGAAGGGTCAGTGACAAACTCACAGGATCCGGAATGTCAATATTAATGTTGCACAGCACATCTAAAAAAAAAAATACACAAAGTCAGTTTTTGACATTTACATTTTGTTTACTAAATATATTTTAGTGCCTAAAGCTAATTTTCCTTCCCAATGTCTCACACGAGTCAAATAAGGCCATTAAGAGGCTGATATTGTGTTGTGTCCAAATGAAATACTATTTCTGTTGTTAATTGTTTTCATTGGGTAAAGGGTGTAAAGCATATGTTCATTTCCCCAGTTTGTGACAGGTGATCCAAAAATGTCAGATCCTGTATGTCTGTCCGTGTGAACTTATTAATAGTTTAACAGTTTGTTCTGTATGTGTTGGTACTAACAGTACTGGAGACGGTGCACATCTTGTGACATATGGTTCTACATCTGGTGTTTTTGAAAAGATACTCCTTCCATCACCACTCTAATCCTCTCCATCCTCACCCTTATTCCTCTTTTCTCTCCATCCCTTCTCCTTCCTGCCCCCCTCCTTCGTCAGGGAGCATCACAGCACCTGTCCCAGCCTCTCCACCACACGACCCATTCAGCAGTACAACGAGGACCTGGATAACTTCCGTAATAACAGCAAGCTGGCCAGTGCCCATGAGCACCCATACGCCCTCCCACCGGATCACCCAGACCACCCTGACCACGTCAACAACTTGCTGAACTGCCGCGACGCCGACACCCACACCCTGCTCCACAGCATGGACAGTCTAATCCTGACCAGCATGGCCAAACCTGAGTACACAAAGATAGACATGCCTCCTGTCTACCCCTATCCCTCCACCAATGCCATCCTGCAAGGTGAGCATCTGGGGCCATCAGTCATGTGTACCCGAGTTGGTCACAAATCCTCTGATGTTAGGGAAAAAAATGGCTAAATACAAATAATGACTCTCTGGAACTGCATCGTTTAAGATGAGATGATCAAATCTGATGCTGCAGAGACAAAGATGTCCTAAGTATCATTTAAGCTACAAAAGTACTGGATCCACATATTTTGTTAGACCCTCCCTAACTGGTAACTCAATGCCTCCAGTTAACACAGGCTTTCCATTAAACATTTGTAGTCCTCAAGAACAATCTAATACAAGGTTAGTGTCACTTGAGTCATTTCATCACTTGACAAAGCTAATCTAGGGGCCCAGCAGACATTATACAACTCTTTTCACACCCTCAGTAGTTCACCCCATGAAAAGCAATTTAACTTTAGCATGTAAAACCAGTGGCATTAACCTTTTAAAAACATTTACTGGCTAACACTGGTGTAACTCGTTCAGTTCTGTTCTTGAAACAGTGCTTTCAGATGTGTTTCATGGGTTTACTGTCTTCCACTGGAGAAGCTGACCTCTTTCTGTCTGTCTGTCCATTCTTCTTCCTCTGTTTTCTCTCTTTGTTTCGCGCAGTGAACAAGAATGCCAACACCGACCAGAAGAAGAGTGAGGAGAAGAAGGAGGAGGAGGATGAGGAAGGAGATGAAGATGGCCCCAAACCCATGCCTCCATACAGTTCCTGCTTTATACTGTCCACCACCAACCCGTGAGTATTTATGTGTGTGTGTGTGTGTGTGTGTTTGTGTGTTTAAAAACCTTGGTCAAACACTGTGAAACATTGTACTATGTCCTTGACACAGAAACGTTATTCAATATGAACACTTTTCTCTCTGGGCCCAGAAATGTTTAAACAGTTTGTTTTGTGTGCTTTTTTTGTGTCAACATGTGTATGCGTCTGTGTGTTTGCACCAGGTTTCGGAAGTGCTGTCACTACATCCTGACTCTGAAGTATTTTGAGTTCAGCATCCTGTCTGTCATCGCTATGAGCAGCATTGCCCTCGCTGCAGAGGACCCTGTCTGGCCTGACTCACCACAAAATAATGTGAGACATCGCTCTCTCTGTGTCTTTCTGTCCGCCTGTAAATGTGTGCACATCTCCATCCTTTTGAGAATAAAATATCTTCAAGGATATAAAGATGGGCAGAATCTTCCAAAGTGAGCACACTTAACCGAGTTTCACTAGTACGGAGATTGGTTTAGTATCAGGCCTTAATAAGAGTTAATAATGGTGATAATGACTTTTTTTTAATCTAGCATCAGGGCTTCTGGTGTAGTTGTTGACCAACATACCTAAACATTTTCAGGATAAAATAATAAATTAATAAAAATGAGTGCTGAAACTGCCAATATATGACATATTTAAGTTAGGGTTAGGATTATAAAAGTATAAAAGCACTGCTTGCAGACATATTTTAACATATTTTTAAGAGAACATATCTATTAGCAGTCTTAGTCATTTTCACAGTTTTTTTTTTTATAGCATCACAGATGGCATCATTTTACAGATCTTCGGCTTCATGCTGGATGGTATATGAAAACCAGCTGTCTGGGTCAAATTCTGAGCAAACTTTGCAAGAAAAATGTTTTTGGATAAGATTTAAATGCAATCAGCATTGCACAGGAAAGCAAGTTTTCTAAGTGAACAGTTCTCAGGTCACTACTTGCTGTCATTTTTAGCATGAAACCTTTAATGCTGTAAAGCGTGCTGGACATCACTGCTCATGCTGGCTCAACAGAACTGGCTAGTTCCTCTGATTATTTCAAACAAACCAGAAACAGTTGTGTATTAATATCAGTCAGGGATCACAAGAAACATGTACAGTCACTTGAAAAAGTTGTGTATTATTACAATAAGTGTAGCTAAAGGGTAGAACACATAATATTACCCGGAATTAAATAAATAAAGCAGAAAATGAGTGTTTTTTTAAAAGACAAGGATGAGTAAATTATTATTAGATGTGGCAGTTTGAAAATAGAAAACAGGATTAAGATTAGAATTAGGATTAGGCTCTGGTTGGTGTCTGATTTTTTGTGCCTTTGTTAATCTCTCCTGCCCTGTTTTTCATTTTTTTCCCCACTGATTCATCTTTTTGCTTCTCTCTCCTTCTTTCTAATATGATAATTATATCTCATGGTGTTGTGTTGCTCTGCAGGTGCTGCGTTATTTTGACTACGTTTTCACAGGCGTCTTCACGTTTGAAATGTTGATCAAGGTAACAAAGTATCACTGTGTGTGTGTGTGTGTGTGTGTGTGTGTGTGTGTGTGTGTGTGTGTGTGTGTGTGTGTGTGTGTGAGAAAGCGTGTGTGTAATTTGTTAACACCTTTGTTTTTGCGTAATTGTATAATTGTGTTTTTTTGTTTATGTCTTTCTCTTTTTGTGCAAACTGTTGTGTGTGTTATTATTGATGTTTGTGGTTGTGTGCTTATGAGTGCATTTTGTGTATTTGCGCTGTTTGCCCTTGCAGATGCGCTGATTGTGTGAAAGTCTGTTGTTTAAGATACCGTGTGTGTGTGTGTGTGTGTGTGTGTGTGTGTGTGTGTGTGTGTGTATGTATGTTAATATATACATACTATATGTATGTACTGAGCGTGCTCCGTGTCTTCCAGATGGTGGTGCTGGGCTTGTTTCTCCACCAGGGCTCCTACTTCCGCGACTTGTGGAACATTCTGGACTTTATAGTGGTTAGTGGTGCTCTGGTGGCCTTCGCCTTCACGTAAGTGTCCCCTCCACCCTCCTCTTCATCATCTCCACCACCCCCACCCACACACACACACATTCCACCATCCGCAGAAAGACCCTTGTCGCCCAGCCTTGTACATCCGATACACCAGGCAATGCTGATCTTTCTCTCCTATTTTCTCAGCCTGCTGTACTTCAGAATTCATCACCTCCAGTCCTTGTCCTTGTATTATCTACTCTTTCTGTCTTTCTCTCACTCTGTCCCTGTTTCTCCTTTAATCTGTCTCCTTTATGTGTTTAAACTCCTTTTCTCATACAATTCTTTCTCACATTTTCCCTTGTTCTTCTTTACCCTTTTCTGCTCTCTGTCTCTGTTCTAGCCTTTTCTTTGTTTGTTGTTTTGTATCTCTCTTGGTCCGTTTTTTCTTCCTCAGACTTTTTTCTGTAGTCTTGTCATTGTCTCTTTATCCCCCTCCCTCCTGAAGTCTACCCTTTCTCCATTTACATCTCTATTTCATCATTGGTCATCATCACACGTGGTATCGTATCAGCAGGTCTTTCTCTACGTTTCATCGCCACCTTCATCTTGATAACCACCCGTAATCCTTAACTAAATATTTTCCCTAATGTTCTGGATGATCATCACCAACCCCTGACCTACACTCTAAAAAGGAAAAGCTCTCCTCATAACATTTAGCTTTTTCTCAATGCTGCAATCTTTGGAGAACCTCAGTTGGTACCCTGTGGTACTCCTTCAAAACGATTAGCACAGTAGTTTCACAAACATCATAACTTTTTGGATAGTTCTTCTGTTCTTCCGAGAGAGGAACCCTAAAAGTGCTGAAAGTGAAATTATTTTTTTTAGAGTGTAGTTACACTGTCTTCACCCACCTGTCAACCCCGACACACCCCTAACCTTGCCTGAAACAATCACCTCAAAAACCTAACCCCTAACCCAACGTCATTCCCCTTTACTGACCTAATACAATATAAAGCACCACCTGCTCGTTCTCAACATTTTCTTTTCCCAATCTTCCTTGCTCCTGTTCCCTTGTGTCCCTTACTTGCCAATCCATGCCGCTCTGATATTTCCACCAACCAGGCCGTGAGTCATCCCTTCCTCTTTTCTTGCATCTAAAGCCCTGACTTTGATCCCTCAAATCTTTGCTTACCAACACTCCCTCCAGACCCTTCACAGCTTTGGTTCCTGCTGATGCTTTCACCTTCTTCCAGATACATTTCAAACCCTTCTTTCGTAACAGCCCATCCTTCTACCTATCATTACATTTTGCCCTCTACCCGATTTCCCTACCTAAACCCCCTAACACCCCTCTTATTTCTAACATACAGCAAAGAGAGAACAAAGGAATATTGAATTTGCTTTCAGTGCTCACAGTCAGCCTCTCCAAACCACCTTTATGCTTCATAAAACAGAAAGGAGAGTTTTACTTGCTTCTATTTTGGCTACATTTTGTTAACTTGCTCCAACTCCAAGCTGTTCATGCAAAATGTATACCTCACAGTCAGTCCCATTCTTCCTGCCAGAACACCTATATCTTCGTAAAACCGTAAGATACTTTAAAAAAAAAAAAGACTAAAGATCTATAGATCTTTTTCTTCTTTTCACGTGACTTCAGGTTAGTTCTTTCCCAAAGCTAATTTGTGCATTATAGACCCTCTTGACTGATCACCAAGAGAAATGGTTTATTAGTGTTGTAGTTTTATTAGAATGACGAATGCAAACTGAGCTAATTTTCCTACGATAACGTGAACATGCTAATATTTAGCAGGTATATGCTATTCCTGATCCATAATCGTAGTTTAGTCTGTTACCATGCTAACATTGAATTTGTGTGCTGTTTGTTAGGAACAAGTGTCACCCATTGCTCCCTAGCTTGCCGCTATCCCCACCCAACCCCAGCCTCCACCCCTGTCTGAACATAAACCCTACAGTCAGTAATTAACCCTTCCAACCCTCCAAACTCCACCACGCACACACCTTTCAACCCCACCTCTCCAACAGCCATTAAAGCCAACATCCTGCCTCCCTCCTCTTCATCCTCCCCCCGTCCTCCGGGCTGAAGGTCCCTGTCGGTCAGTCCGTGGGGGTGAGGGCACCCCAGACACCTTTAACCCTTTAAGTGCCCAGGTTATCTGTTCGCCACGAGAAGGAACACCAGCAGGGCTCATCGCCTCGTCCCCCCTCTTCCTCTTTCACCCACACACACTCAGCCACAAAAACACATACTCACCCGTCGTTAACGTACCCGGAGGCTCAGGTATTTAACTCTCCTTCCTCTGCACGACCCGGGGAAGTCAGACTGAACGGGGGAGGGAAGGAGGGAGGCATGCTGGGGCAGAGTGTGGTGGGTGGAATGATTTGCTATTAGGCTGAGGTACTATACAGATAAATACATATGAATTAAATATGTATGATATATGCAACTGGAGGGACTGAATGTGTATTTCTGTGTGTAAAAAAACAGAAGAGTGAGTGGGAGAGAAAGAAAGAAGCTTGTGTGTGCATCCTCCTCAGCTCTGTGGATGCCTAGTGCATGACTGCCTTTGTGACTGCATGAACCTGAACACAACCTGTGATGCAATAGACGGCATCACTCAGAACTATGTTAAAGATGTTCAGAGCCAGTCACAGGCAAAGAATGTGATCCAGTTAAATATGCGCTTTGGATCTTAGAGCTAATAGCTACTGTCAAAGTGTGTTCAGATTGAATGCTAAGCAAATTCTAGAGGTGGCGCCATTGCATAATAAATCAATGGAAATACATCAGTGACACAAATAGATGCAGATTTGCTTGAGTTGGCATGAACTGATGTCAAGAGGCCCAATTTGAAATTGTTTTGGTGTTATTCATTTTTTTTCTTACTGCCAACATTTTCCATGAAAAGACCAAAACAAATAATGTGTTAGTCCATCTCTCAATATGTTCTGATATACCCTGACTTCGACACTCGAACAAGCCCATTTGTTTCTACTTGAGATGTACATCTTTCAAAATGTGTCATGTATACAGTCATTTTTAAGTAATATTCTGAAAACAAGGTGGGCACTGTTGTGTTTAACAGAGTAAATTTGCAGACAAATGAATACACATCTGGTGAGCAAGTGAGCTTTTACGGCAGGAGGACAGTGAGACTTGACTCAAAATAAACTCTTTGTAATGAAGGAACATGTCACCTAGTGCAGTTGTTGGTTTTGGTCTTTTCATTGGATTTCTTTCTTTGAAAATAAGAAAAATATAGAATATTGCTGTGCTTATCCTTTAACTTGAGCAACAAAAAAAATCATGCTTATCCCAAAGTTGTTTGACTTCACATAAATGTACAGAGACAAGAAGAAAAAGGTAAGAAACTGTAGGAAAGTAACACGAATACTTTGACTAACTTGTTAATTTTGAGATTAGTCAGTCTGAGCTGCACAATGCAGATGTTGCTAGCGAGGGACAGCCAGACTATGTCCAGTAGTACTATAAAGACCTACGGAAGCATTACAATTTATGCAGCATGATCCCTGCCACTTGCTTGTCACTGTCACCAAGGCAGCCCTAGTGCAATTAGAGTACTGGCACAAATTAAACCATTTTTAGCTTTCGATCCCTTTATTTTCATTACATTGCGGGTTAATCTCTTTTGTTACCTCCCAAAATGTGTTGAAAAACAATTCATTTGCATCTCATATAAAATGAATAGAGGCAGACATCTCACACCAATGACTTCATTTTGCACTCAGTCTGAACACACAACATCTCTGTTTAATAGCAAATATAAGTTAGTCCTGTTCTGAAAGTCACTGTCACTACGTGTTCACACTGCCAGCAACTGGAAACCTCAGCCAGTGTTAACAATGGTTGACGTGTTTCCCCAATAATAAGAAAAGAAACCTTGTCCAATAGCATCATGTATCATCATTTGGTATATGTCTACATAAGAATAAGCAAACTCATATCAGCACCTGGACAGTATTTAGGCTGCTGTGGTTGTTAGCAGTCTGTATGCAGAGTGAACAGTGTTCAAGGAAACGAACAGCAGCAGAAGTAAATCAAGCAGCAAGCAGGATGGGGAAGGTGCACATACAAGTTTTTTTAATGCAAAGCTTTCAAGAGACAGGTGGTATGGATTGAAAGTGATATAATACTTTGGTTAAACATTTCACACTTGTGTCGAAGTGTTGAGTGGTGAACCTTCACTATTATTATATACAGTGTCAGGTCTACCGATAGCACGAGTATCTGCAAACAAGAAGAAATTATTTTCCAGTACTAACAGTTAAAGTTAAGGTTTTACCTGAACGTGATAACATACAGTAGAATTAGAAATTAAAAGCATCAAAGCTGCACCAGTCACAGGATCCTGGAAAGACAAATTATGAAGGTAGACGGATCACAAACTCCATACATTTGCAGCAAAAACTGAAACTGTTCAACCAAAGTTAAATATCACTTTGGCTAAAATGCCAAGCAGCAACTGCACACAACAACAACAAGGTTGAAAATCACTCCACTGCTGCACCCTCCACAGCTTGACTCCCCGCTGAAATCAGGATGCCTCCTCCCCTCCTTCAATGGTCCCCTTCCCTTCTCCTCTCCCATACCCTTCCTCGCCCTCTTACTTTCTAAATCACCCTTTCCGCTCCCTTTTAGGATGCTCTCCCACTATTCGCCTCTTCTCTCCACACTTTCTCCCTCTCCACCATCTCTCCCACTTTGCCTCTTTGCTCCAACCATCTGCTCCAGGGCTGAGCTACAGTACAGTTTTGCTTAAGGGGCGAAGGTTTCACACACACCTATGAAATTTCACTTTGACGCATGACATTGTTTCAAAGCAGGTACATCAGAGAACCATTGTACGGAGAGAAGTTTTAGCATGGTCAGAGTGCAATGGTTTTTTATGGGTTTTAAACACAACAATTGCGCTTCTGGCACCCTTCATCCTCCAAATAAATGCTGAATGAAACACTGACTGAGAACTGCATGCAGTCGCAGTACTCTGTGAGAATGTCTTTTCATTCTATTGATGGTGTGTGTGTATGGGACAATACACACAAATCCTGGTTTCTTGAGTCCCCACTCATGATGGATGTCCTGAGTGTAATGCCTAACATTTCAAGAAAACCTGGAACCAACCTTTTTTCTCCCCCTGTGCAGATGTGCATGCAAAAGAACTTTGATAAAATCCCACTAGATGATTGCAGATCTAATGAGGGTAATTTGTGCTGTAGGCCTGGTCTAATTGATCATTATGGTGTGATAAGATAAGAATCGGTGTGAATGGATGCAGCAATCGAGTTTCCTCTTCCAACCGTGAAGGTAATTCTTCATAGAGCTGGTGGCACAGCAGGCCACAGCAGAAGACAGCTGGGAGGGAAGGAGGGTTTGCACACACAGAGTCTCAACCAGGGGCTATATTCAAAGAAGTGCTCTTACTATAGATCTCAAGAAGTTAACTGAGAATTATAGTTTTTTTTAAAAAAGATGATTGCTAAGTGCAGTTCAGATGCAATAAAAGGTACATCCTTGAATGCTGTAATGCGAGGAGAAGGATTTGTATTTCAGGTGATTTACTTAACTGTGATTTATTACCTATGTCAGCCTATTCTAATGGTATCAAAACTGAAAATTCTTGTATGAACCTTTTTGATAATGTTTACTAAACTACTAATGTCAAACTAAAGACTGTAAAATTGTGTTTCCAGGGCACATTAATTACTGGTAACACTGGCACTGCTGCAACATTTACCTATGTTGTGGCCAACATGTTAGTCACTTGGAATCGGACATAGCAGTGTGGAAAAAACATAAAGTCAAATCATTTCCAAAATATCTGCATTTCAGCTGAACCTTTTTCTTGTTAGCTTGTTGTGTACCATGAATAATTATACTGTATGTAGAACTCACCTTATCTAAAAAACTAATTTAGGAGACAGGTATGTAGATAACCCATCCAGTCGTCATGGAGACAAGAGATGGGTGTGGGAGGGGGTGGTGGAATGAGAGGGAGTGATGTGTGTTTCTGAGTGTGTATACTGTATGTGTGTTAGTGGGTGGGGGGTTTCTAAGCAGATATTGCCATCTTGCTGTCCTTCCTTCTTTGTCTGTCTCTCATATGGATGTATTTTTTCCTGTTTCTTCCAAACCCCCTCTCTCTTGTCTTGTGTCCGTCTTTGTCGGTGTCTCTCTTTATCAATGTTTGTCTCTGTGTGTGTCTGTCTTTCTATGTGTTTTTCCCCTCTCCTCTCTTCCTTCGCTTCCTCCTCCTCTTCTATCTCTGGCTTTCTTTCTGTCGCTGTCACTGACTCTCGCTGTCTCCACCTTCGGTGAAACTCCACAGGAGCACCACCCGGTAAAGTTCTTTCTCTGTCCTCCTCCTTCTTCCTCCGCTCTGTCCCCTGCTCTCCACCACCGGATCAAATTGGCTTCTCTCTCTTTCTTTCTTTGTTCTTCTGATCGTTGGTACTCATTCTCGCCGTTTCGTATGTTGTCGTATTCTTCACATACCACAGAAAACCATCCAAACACTGCAATAGTTTCATCGACGGGTTTGATTTAAAGGCTTTGATTTGATGCCCACAGGTTTTTTGGAAGTGACATGACTCCACTTTTGCAAATTATTAATTTAAAAGTTAAAATTCCCTGATACAGTACATACATTTTTTTGAGAATTAGCATCAAAGTGATACTCCTCCCTTAGTCTGTCTTTTGGTTATCAAACAGTCCCCTGTAGACTTAAAAGGTGCCTGTAAAGGGCTGTCGCCAGCTTGAATTCATAGTTCAAAGGATTACAAAAATTACAAAAATTATTTTGCCACCGTCCGTCCTTCTGCTCAGGCTAAGGCTACTATACTGCTTGTATCCCAATCTTTATCCATGATGCTGTCAACCTTTAGAGCCTACAGTGAGTTTACCTACCTCCTGCTCTTCCATTGCAGGAAAACTGTCTGTCTAGAGTCTCATTCTGACCAAAAATAGTGCTACATTAAAAGATTGCAAAGGGCTGCATCAGTGTGGGTGTCTTTCTACATGTACCAGTGAGAAGATGAAATACAATCCAGAAAGTTCCGTTAATCAGATCAGATGCCAAATAAACTGCAGAGCGGTTCATATTGTTACAGCTTAATATCAACTTGCCCAAGCTAATGTTACACATGCATTACTGCAGATAAAAATTTGTCAGGCATGTTTAGGTCATGAATACTACACTATGAAGCAGCAATCATTTGAATCTCTATCTTGAGAATTGCTAGGTAAACAGTGGAATTGTCTGTCACCTTGTAATCTATACCAAAATGTGCACTTTAGTCAGTTCAATAAGTTAAGATACTCTACTAACATGTTCACTGTACTGTACATGTTATATGAGAATATAGGGACTGAAGCAGGAGCAGTTTGAGAGATTTCTGTGGACCTAAAAGCCTCCACTGTTGGCACCCACTGTAGACAGCTACTGTGCTCAATGAAGGAAGAAAGGACGGAAGCCTTTTACAGCCACCTTTTAGTCCTATGGGTGCTGAGTGTTTGATACTCGAAACATAGATTTTGGTGGAGTATCATCCCAATTTGCCCCCATTTTAGTCAAACATCTTTTAATAGGGGTGACAGAGTGTTAAAACAATGCATTATACATACTCAGTCATCAATCGTGAGACATAAAGAGCCGTTGCCCTTATCCTTATGCTAGTGTGTGCGTGTATGTGTGAGTTCTTGTGTTTGTGCGTAGGGATGTTTTTAATTCCTAACACCTATGGCCTTACTGGGCTTTACTCTAATACTCTCAAGCTGCTCTGATAGAGAGACCTCAGTCCTACTCAACTTCAAAGGAGGAAGGTCTATTGATTATCGATTGAGTCTCACTCTCGCACACTCGCACACAGACACACACAAACCCCTATACGCATACACGTAGAACTTCCAAGGCTCAGACTCAATCAATCAGCCTTGAATTGAATTGTCTTACGTTTTCTGCCACGGGAACTGAGTTCATAGTTAAAGAGCGAGCCTTGATGGACGACCTCTCTTCTGCTCAGGCTTGGCAGGCGTCCAGGCGCCTCCTGCCTTGTGTTTTTGAAAATGGCCCATCCACTTACAGTAAAGATCAACTCGGCTATTTACTCCCTTGACACCCCAATTTTTCCTCACTGATATTGGTTTATGGGCATACAAATCATGAGCAGAATGTTCAGTTATGGGGTTCGTGGAGCAAACAGGCGCATTAAAACACACGACCGAAGGAGTTTGTCTTTCGGCCCTAAATGGTTTCCTCCGGTCGCTCTCATGGCTCGTTTGACGCTATTGGTGCAGCGTGTTTGTTTGTGTTACGACATGTGATGTCGTGTTCTGCAAGCGACATCACATGTCCCCAAGAGTCTCACATAGCCTCCATTTCCTGCACTTGTCTCCTTCGATTCAGGCTGCAGTCCTGACTAAAGAAAGATACAAAAATGTTTTCTGAAATCGGGATTTAAATGAAAGGAAGCTATGTGAAACCAATCGGAATCAGTTCATTTAGTGTTTCCAAATTCAGGATTATATCAACATAATCCTAGCCATGTAATAGTTAAAGTTCACGCTTCATGTGTCCACATCTAAAACTCCCATTTCTTCCGAAGAACCGAACAGCGTGTCACTGAAAAAGAAAGAAAGAGGTTTGGCTGGGCACTCTGCCGAGAGATGCCTGTCGATATGGAATGAGTGAATGTCTATCGTATAATGGTCAAGATTATAATAAATAATGATGTTGATGCTTCTTGTCCATGAAACCAAACGGTCAGGCAACTGATCGCTTTTCCTCCCACCGGTTTCATGTTTGACATGCACTTAAAGGTTTCTTTTGTCTGCAGAAGAAGAGACTCTAAAAGCTTTGATTGTCTGCACTGACATAATGTACTTTTTTATTCAAGAGAGCAAGTGTCAAACCATATGTTGCTTTAACTTAGATTGTCTATGTAGAGGTTAAGATGTTTAAGATAAATTCAACTTTGAGGACATACCCCTCAACCCACCTCAGCTCTTTTTAAAAGCACTTAATGATAACAGCAGAGGGTGCAGTAAGAGCCCTTTGTGATTCTTCCATCCCTTCATTCCTACACTGCTCTAATCTGACCTTGTTGTTGTTCTTTGGCTGAACTCTAGGGGGAGCAGCAAGGGTAAAGATATCAGTACAATCAAGTCCCTTCGTGTGCTAAGGGTGTTGCGTCCTCTGAAGACCATCAAACGACTCCCCAAGTTAAAGGTAGGGGGCTCACAAGGTCTGTTGGTGCATCTCAGATCAGGGGCTGCATACATGAGGTTAAGTTTCGAAGACACAATTGGTGTTTCTTTTGGAACCGGTGTTTTCATAAACGTATTTTTATGCGCATTGTGAAGTATCATGTTAAAACAGCTTGATGGAAACGGCACAATTCGAAAAAAAAAACATTTTAACACGTGTAATCATAAACTGAATTCTAATCTATCACCATCACTATCAAGATCATGTAGGGTTACATGGATGTTTTCAGAATACTACAGCACTGACCACTGACCTTTGCATTTCATATTTTCTGATATTTGAAGTCAAAGGTTAGCCTCTGTTTCCCTCTCTGTGTAGCCATACTGGTTAATCAGCCTTCAGATACATCTGAGGGTGTGTTTGTAAATGTCTCCATCTTTGATTTTCCAGGCTGTGTTTGACTGTGTGGTCAACTCTCTGAAGAATGTGCTGAACATCTTGATTGTCTACATGCTCTTCATGTTCATCTTCGCTGTGGTGGCCGTGCAGCTTTTCAAGGGCAGATTTTTCTACTGCACGGACGAATCAAAAGAGTTTGAGCGCGACTGCAGGTGGGAAACACAAACACACAGTGTGCAATACAAAACTCTGTCATTCAGTATGTGATTAGAGTAATTTGCAGTATTATTTTCAGTTAATACTATATTTTTGCATTGTGTATCCTCTGTGTACTTTCAAAGTACTGAAACTGCTGCTCATTTAGTGCCATAGATGGATGGATTTGAACTTTAGTTAATGGGAAAAAAATAAGTCACTTAGTCCCATGGCCAATTGTAGTAGTTGTGCCAATGCTGCCACCTAGTGGAATTTTAAATGGATGATAGAAATGTTGGGCGTCTGGAATCCTGGTGCTTTTCTACACATCCATTTCAGGATGTTTTTACTGACTGATACTTCCTTTGTGTTTTCATTATAAACCCCATCCTTCGTGTTTCTACAGGGGCGAGTACTTGGTGTATGATAGAGATGAGGTTAAAGCCCAGAAGCGGGAGTGGAAGAAGTACGATTTCCACTACGACAACGTGGCTTGGGCCCTGCTCACCCTCTTCACTGTCTCAACTGGAGAGGGGTGGCCGCAGTGAGTAGAATGCACTCACATCACACACACACACACACACACACACAATCTAAAAACACACACAGTAGAATGCATACATTTAAGTTGTTGTGGGAACTTACTTTTATTTTCTATTTCAATTCTCTCTTCCTCTCGCAGGGTGTTAAAGCACTCAGTGGACTCCACCTATGAGAATCAGGGCCCTAGCCCAGGTTACAGGATGGAAATGTCCATCTTTTACGTGGTGTACTTCGTTGTCTTCCCCTTCTTCTTCGTAAACATCTTTGTGGCTCTTATCATCATCACCTTCCAGGAACAGGGGGATAAGATGATGGAGGACTATAGTTTAGAAAAGAATGAGGTGAGGAGAATTGTCAGAATTTTCCGAGGTCTCGTTTTTAGGATATCTTTTGAAAGTTTCTTAAAGAGAACAGACGAACGTAATGTAACTCTACCTCCTCTCCTATCCTTTCTTTTCCTCCCACAGAGAGCTTGTATAGATTTTGCCATCAACGCCAGGCCTCTGACTCGCCACATGCCGAAGAATAAACTGAGCTTCCAGTATCGCATGTGGCAGTTTGTGGTGTCTCCGCCCTTCGAGTACAGCATCATGGCTCTGATTGCGCTCAACACCATTGTCCTTATGATGAAGGTACGAGTCTGTTACTCAGTGTGGACTGTCTAACAATGTCTTCTGTGATGCTTTCTTGATTTAATGCTGATATCAACAATGGTATTTGATTATTTATCAGTATTTTTTATTGCATACAACTCTGCAGTACATGTTGTATTTTGTAGCAACACAAACATATTCCACAGTAGGTGCGATCGCAGGAAAAACATTTAACACTACCACTGTAAAGAAATTATTTCGACCCTTAATAAAGAGCATTTACACAAATCATTCTGCAAAACAAAGATATTCAGTTTTATAAAGTGCCATTACAGTTTGGTCTCCAAGAACTGAACACGTTAATAAAGCTGCATTAATCAACATTTTTGTATTAACAGTGTATCAAAAAACAAATAACCTTCAGCTCATTGTTTGGCTCACTAACCCTGTTTTCAGTGAAAATGCTCTTATAAACCCACTGTTTGCTGTTCAGCACCAAATGGCCGACAGTTAGTGACTACCTGGTGAACACAGTGGACCATTTAGCAACAGCCAAATATTTCCCTCAGGACTTGGTTACCAAAAGAGATAAAAGGAGGACTTACATTCATCTGGTCATCAGAACCACGACTCAAAACTATGATGTGAGAAGTAGCTGTGTAAATAGATAGATAACACTTTAGCCATATCAACTTCAAGAGGCCAAAAATAAAATATATACATAAATAAATATGAATATAAAATATCTTTACCCAATCAAATGCCTGATCTGGTAGAGTAGAAACCCTGTATTTGGCTGCTTCCTGGTGATGATTTACCAAATGGTCATTGTCAAAACCAACACCTCCTTTGGACTCCGTTGACCATGAGCTTTCCATGACATTAGCAAGGATGCATTCTCTGTTCAGATCTGAAAGGATACGACTGGATAAGGTGATCACAAAACAAACTCAGTACTAACAGAGATACAAACCCAACTGATTCAGTTCTATGATGGAGTTACACGCTCTGCTCATAAACCAAGCTTCCTATCTGTATTGAGAACAAGGTCTGCTGCTCAGCTAGAACTCTGTAACCTGACTGCGCCAGATGGTTTGTTACAGAGAACCACTGTGGTGCAGACACAAGCACATAGCTTAAAGCCTGGCAAGATGGATCGTTGCGTGAACCTCGCAATGCCCAGCTGCTTTGCAAGGTTAAGAACTCTTTCACCACTTTTGGCTTTAGCGTTTACGGTTCTCATTTCTTGTCCATCTTTTTTTTTGTGTCTGTAGTTTAATGGTGCATCGCAAACGTACGATGAAGTCCTGAAGAACCTCAACATCGTGTTTACCACCTTCTTCTTCATGGAGTCAGTCCTCAAGATCATCGCTTTCGGCCCTCTGGTAAGGCTGAAAGCCACAAGCATAAGAACATGCTGTACCTACACGCATATTCTTTATCTAGGTTGACCCAGTCTATATGCTTCAGTGTTTCATCCTATAATTCATTTATAAAGCGGGTTATTTTGGTAGACAGATCTAGAGCATATTCTTCCTGTCCCTGAAAAACGCAGAGCACACCGTGTTGCACAGCAGTCACGCTATCAGCCTCTTTTCAGCCTGTCTCCACGGTAACAACACCACCATTGGCCAGGGAGGCGCATCCCTTTACTGCCCCCTGCCTGCAGTTGTGGGAGCATGCGATTGGCTATCATTAGCATCTCTCTGTCTTCTCTGTCTAGTCATCTCTCACTTTTCTCTCTTTCCCAACAGAATTACTTCAGAGATGCCTGGAACATTTTTGATTTTGTCTCCGTCCTTGGAAGCATCACTGACATATTAGTGACAGAGCTAGGGGTAAGTGCTGTGGATGGCTTTTGGAGGAAATGACTCTTGCTGGTTGTAGCTGAGCACTATTTATGATCTGTCACATGGAAGTGGTTCAGTGAAATTTAAAGAAAAAGCTAAACGAGATAGATTTTGGTTTTCTTTTTCTTTTCTTTGTTTATTCCTTGTATGACTTACTTGTAGAAGCCTAGGGAAAAACATTAACATTATTTCACAAGTCAATGCTAAGGTTCAAAATAATACAACTGCACATAAAAAGACACAATCACAGATTCCATAAATATGTTTTTATACCCCCTAAAACCATCCAGTTAAGGGGCCAAAGCAGATTAATAGTAGTTTTCGACTGTTTCTTTTCTTATAAGTCAGTTAGTTGAGACTCAAGAACCAGAATCCATCACACCATGTAGACACACACAGAGGGGGGACAGAAAGAGAAGAAGTTAGCTTGACTCTGTCCAAAGATAACAAAATCCACCTAATGTCCTAGTCAAGAAATACTCCCATACAAATCACAATGTGACGTTTTTACACTTTGGATCAAACATAGAAGATATAAGGTGATAATTAGTGAGCTTCAGAGGTGATTTTGGCACCTTTGAACACAGCCTTTTCATGGTATATAGACTACTAAAATGTATTTGCCTGTCTGTCAGACTGTAAATGGAACAGGCTCATGCTAAAGAGACTAACAAATACCTCGGTGTGTGTCTACAGTATATGCTGCGTGTGCATTATTATATGAAATGTTTAATTCTAAAATCCATTCAGAATACAACTCTCTGATGCTATTTATCTGGTACTTTGAAGAATTTGGGGTGAAAATATTGTCATAAAATCAAAGTTCTCTTTGTGGAGCGAAACCGGTCACACAACTTGATTGCTCAGCCCTGGATTGGTGTGCAGCATTCCTTCAACCCCAAAGGTCAAGTCCACATTATCCGCATTCAAATTACAGCCCATGTAGTTAAGTGCAAGTGAAGAACAGGCATGGAGTTTGATGTTTGAGGGTGAAATGTACCAGATTGTGCCTTTAATTATGAACTGTGACGTATTTTCACACTCATGTTTATATCACTGTTAACTGTGATTTTGTTTGTATGTCTATAAGCATGTCTGTGTTTTATTCTATACATATGAGCTTAATATTATTATAAATATAAGACTCAATATTTATGGAATTCACTGGCAATTTCAGCCCCTCTCTGTTGTCCGGCAACTGTATATTTTTTACTTTACATCAAACAGCGATTTAAATTTGCATTCGGTTCAGTTCAGTTTATTCAGTTATAAACTTGCAAAAACCTCTCTGACCTGTACTGAAGTCTCATTCACACTGACTATATTAGCAGTAAGTGTTCTAATTATTGCAAATCAGCTATCAGTTTAGGTGATTAAAGACACCCTTAATTTACATCTTGGCTGTCTGAACAGACATTTACTGACATCAGCGCTGTTGTCAACAGTGAACTGATCAAGTCAGACACCTGATTGATTCTCTGTCAGCTTGTGCCAGCTACACTGCAGGCTGAGCACAGCTGATCTTTGCACAAGCTAACTCATCAAGTAAAACCAACACTAGGTTTTACTTGATGAGTTAGCTTGTAGCACATTTTGATGGTTGCATGGTTGCATAGTTACCTCGTAGACAAAGCCAAGAACCAGATGTTTGTTCATGTTAACTAAGCCGGCTGTGTTTTGTATTAACTCTAAAGATTCTGCACACAAGAGTAAAGCCAAGGTTTGGCTTCTGTAATTGTAAATGCTTAAATACATTAAACAGACTACAAGGAGATTTTAACTAGTTATGAAACAGTCTCAGTTTAACACTGATGCCTCTATATGACCTACATAAACGAACAAGACCATCAGTGAGAAGATTGGCTATTTCTATACAGTTATTCTTAATGTCTGGTCAGGTCAGATTTGTTCGGACTCTCCTTAAAATCAGATGAATTGAGGCGGTAGTAACAGTCCCGCTTTTGTCCACAGGGGTCACTAGACACAAAACAAAATGAAAGTTCCTTATAGCCGCTTTAACGTAGCAACATTAGATTACTTCGCATTATGTAGGGCAACCAGAACCTCTTCGTGGACCAGTTTGAAACAAGTTTCTTACTATCCAATGCTAAAGATGACCAGCTGACATCAAAGAGGGGCTGAACACACTGTATCTGAAATCACTCACTAACTGTTGTTGTTGACTTGAAGTTGTGTTTCACTGCCTTTTTAATGACACCCATAATGATTCCGTCTTCCTCTTCTATCTCTTTACATGCTTTCTTTAAACCTCTCTACTTTGTTGGCGCCCTACGCCCCTCCCACTCCCTCCTCCTCTGATAAAATCCATCCAATCAAAATGCACTATGAAATCCTTCATCGTGTTCTCCATCCGTGCTGCGCCATGACATGTGGTGGTGGTGCTGTGATGATGATGATGATGATAATGATGGTGATGGTGTGCGTTTCGCCCCATGCCCCTGGCCAATAAAACACACGACCAACCCCCCACCCCCCAAAAAAATGTCTCTCACCCACTCACAATGTACTACAACTTACCAAAAAAAAAAAAAAAACTCCCTCCCCATTCATCTTTCTACATCTTCGCACATGTAGAATCTGGTTGGTTTGTAATTTATCTCTCAAAGCTTTATGCTGCATCCTCATTGGTCATGCATAACCCCCGAACCATTCCCTACCCGCAGTCACCCGCTCCCCCATGACCAGTCTTAACCCTTGACCCCAGTGCATGCGCTTCCTGGATGATGACCTTTTAAACTCTTTGTACTTGATGACATAAAGAGGTTCATTATTAATGTAATCCATTTTTACATAACAGAACACATACTTATATATATGGATATATATTTAATTCCCTAGAAAAGTTTCAAAATAAAGTTTTGCACATGTAGGAACAATCTCAAGCTCGATCTGTACTCCATGCAAGGGAAAAAGCTTCCTGGTAGAACTTAATTCATCCCTTTGTGTTATACAGGCTACTGGCAACAGTTTTGTGCATCAAATCAGGTATACTGGGATCAGTTCAGCATGTAGTTAACTCATTGATGCTGTTGCCATCTTTCAGAAATTTTTTTACTCACAGTATCTGTGCTGGGATAGTGCCGATCCTCTCAAAGATCACATTTAACCAACAAGTTAAAAACGTAGTATGAAGGTACGGACATTAGATTTATCATGTCAGCAGGTTGTATTTACCAGCACTTGATCATTTACAAACACAATCTGAAACAAATTGAAAAAAAAAAAAAAAACTTCTCACACTCTTAGTGCAACTAAATAAGTGAATGTGTGAATCAGTTTACGCTGTGCTCGGCCCCACTGCCCCCCTACTGGTCTGCATGTAGGCCAGTTCTTTCCTCAGAAAGTATGCTGCCATGCCTGCACCGAAGCTGCTCGCTAGTCCCCCCCCCCTTCCTCCCCTCCCTCTCCATGCTCCTCTTCCTGCCTTGCCTGTCAACCACACAATGCCAGGGCCTCACCAGGGAGTTTGGCTGTTGAACGTTACATTATTCTCTCTGTGACACTGTAATGAACCACCAAAGAAATCTGCAGTTCATTGGGCTGAATCCATGTCATCACAACCACAGCCTTAGTGTTTAAAGGCATTTTCACACTTGGTTATTTAATTACAAATTCAGTTGGGCCAGATTTTAAAACCAGTAAATGTAGATGGGCCAAACATTTTTAGCAGCCTATTTAAAACCTTTTCTTTTTTTTTATACTTTTGGTAATTCGGCTCAGGCCATAAGATGAAATCAAACTCTGCACTTTAGCATCCCTCTCCTGCGAGCCCTCAGGAAAGTTTCCAAAAATTGTTCTCAATGTGGTGCCTCCAAATATTATGTTCTTTAACTACCGTTAACACTTAAATTCAACACAGTGGTTTGGTGTTTGGAGATGGTGGAAAAAGTACTTCCCCAGTCCAGGCAGGGTTAAACTTTTACCTTTCCTATTTTCAATCAAGCCCTTCCCTACTTGTGACTGTCAGTAGCTAGAAGTTTTGAAAAGCTACAAAGCGTGGTTGAAAATCACATACGAATTGATTTATGAAAGTGCAATGTCACTACTTCTGTACATATCCTGCCTGATTGGTACTGTGCATGTGCATCTCACAGCATGGAGATGAAAAGGAAGCGAGATGGCTCATGCGTTAGCTACTTATATCAAATTTATATATGCTCGGCAACTTGGTGGTTGCTTCTGGGCTGGATGTGGCCCCCGGGCTCCCAGTTTCTCAGGCCAGGTCTAGATACTTGAGTCTGGGCCCAGGTTTGTTTCTTCAGTCATCTAGCAGAGTGAGTGAAGTGTTTTCACACACTAGTCACTCCAAACCATGGATAGAAGTGTCCTCAGCAACACTATTTGTCACCCAGGTTGAGCATTTAGCAAGTTTTGTAATAATAATCATAGTATACACTTTTCTTCATGATTTCCATGCTGTACTTTTGTCACAAAACCTTGTAAAAACTATGAAAACCAGTCAGTGGGTGTGTGACGTGGCACAATCCAGCAGACCCTCCAAACAACGCACACAGTAATAATTCATGTGCTTTTTGACCATTTGTGTAATATTTCCTTTTCTCCAAAATATCCCTATTGCACCCAATGAGGGAGCAAGTTAATCTGTCATGTAGTTCTGTAACATTGTCCATGGACGAGCATGCTCGAAGCAAACACTGTTTTGTGGCAAACCTGAGACCAGTTTTCTGAGCTCCATAACAACACTTTTTTCAACATACCAGACTCTCCGGACCGTGAAAAGCTTCAACCCAAGTGTGAAAACGCACCAAATTTATTTCTCACACAATGGCTGCTGTTCTCTGGAGATGAGACGCCAGATTTTGAAAAGAAAAACTCCATCGTAAATTGAAAGAGTTAGGTGTCACAGACAAACTTAAGCCATGCTCTTTGGGCCAGAGAAAAATGTGTGTGTGTGTGTGTGTGTGTGTGTGTGTGTGTGTGTGTGTGTGTGTGCGTGGTTGACAGGCACAGTGCACTGTGCTCCATCTTGTGTGGCCTGCTTGCCCCCCAGAGATCAGTGCATTTGGTTCTCTTAAAAAAGAAAAAAGCATTCTGCTGTACCAGATTGGATGATGACCTTTAGACTCTTTGAATTATGATTTTCCTTATTTCCTCTCTTTTTCCTTCTTCTTTTGACCTTTTCTCTGTCTTTCTCTCATTTATACTTGTATCTACCAAGAGCCATTATGTTTGCAGTTGGTTATGTTTTGTTGGGTTGACCCCCCTCCCCCCCTTCTCTCTTTGTCCTCTCTTTCTTCCGCTGTTGTTTTTGATTTTTGTGTTTGGTAGAGGGAGGTTGTGCAGGTGGCATGTGTTTGGCGAAGCTCACTGTGTTCTCCCTCTGTAGAATAACTTCATCAACTTGAGTTTCCTGAGGCTGTTCAGAGCAGCTCGCCTCATCAAGCTGCTGAGACAGGGAGAGACCATCCGCATCCTGTTGTGGACCTTTGTCCAGTCCTTCAAGGTATTCAGTCATTAACAGATACACACATAATGTACATATGGTCACAATATATGTTAGAAACTCTTATAAATATTTCCCCTCTCTCCATCGTCTCTGGTAGGCTCTGCCATACGTCTGCCTGCTCATTGCCATGCTCTTCTTCATCTATGCCATCATCGGCATGCAGGTGAGTACTGCCTATCTGCCCTTTTGAATTTTGGATTTGATATGTTTTTGGATTGTTATATGATGTTTTGGGATTCCATTGTACAGCTGGGAGGGTCAGTAAATGGGTGAACAGTATTTAAAATCCCACTATGGAAGAAAGATTTACATCCCTTACCTAAATAAACCAATACCATCATGTAAAAGTACTCCATTACAAATCACAAGTAAGTAAAGAACGAAAGTAAAAAATACAGTAGTATAAGCAGCTAAATGTCCTTAAAGCATCAAAACTGAAGGTACTTCTTGTGTAGAAACACTGGTTCCTGCATATTGTCATGCTGGATTATTATTTTTGAACTGACGCATTAACGTGTGCAACATTTTAATGTTGTAGCTGGTTGAGGAGCTCACTTTAATATTTCATGTACTGCAAACTGGTTGAATTTATACAAATGTGCCATATGTGTTTAAAATCAGAATCAGCAAAGTAGCTAAAGCTGTCAAATAAAGGGAGTATGGGTAAAATATTGACCTCTGAAGTAAAAGCATGAATTTAAAGAACTCAAGCGAGGTACATTTATTTTAAAAAACATGTTCTCACTGCATTGTTTCAACTTTACCATCAGTGTAGAATGTGCACTAATGTTTTCCTTTCTTGTGGTGCTTTCTTTTTCCACTGTTTGTGTGTGTGTAGTTGTTTGGGAATCTGGCACTAGATGAGGAGGGAGAGAGTGCAATCAACGAGCACAATAACTTCAGAACCTTCATTATGGCCCTCATGCTGCTCTTTAGGTGAGTCTTTTAGCCCCTCTTTCAAACATATACGTCAAAATGTGCACTTTAAAATGTAAAAATCGAACCCGCAGGAGTAGTAGTTTTCCAGCAGCAACCCTTGATTAGGTGCCATCACACACTGTCACTTTCCCATTCACTGCCACTGTAACTGAAGGGTGATCATATTTAGATTAATGTAATTTACCAAATGTTTAATATTTAATTTAATATTAATGTTTAATATCATGTTCAAATCCCAGATCTGATCCATAGCAACATACTCTCTTAATATGAGTTGATGCTGACCATTGATGCCTCTTGAACGTCACTGTCTCTCTTGGGTTTGTGCTCACTCTTTCATGTTTTGCTGTGCGTTTCCCCTCATGCAGGAGCGCTACGGGCGAGGCGTGGCATGAGATCATGTTGGCTTGCCTGGGTGGTAAGGAATGCGACCCGGCCTCAGGGAACACAGAACCCGAATGTGGCAGCACCTTCGCCTACACCTACTTTGTCTCCTTCATCTTCCTCTGCTCTTTCCTGGTGAGAAAAAAAAACACAGAATGTCCCTTTAACCAGTTGAATAAATAAAAACACACATTTATGCATATTTTTAATATTATATCCAATTACTTCTTTTTGAAATAAAACAGCAATTTTTGTTGGTTGTCGCATCATAAACCAATGGTTGTACATTAAATAAAGATTTTTAGATAGATTTTTTTAGATTATATATATTTGTCAATAATCCCTCCTTTCCTGGTGTTACTTCATAGCGTTCAAAGGGTGGATTTATTACTTAATCCTAGATACCATTTTCCGAGATGGCTAAAAAAGTTTGCTGCTGCGTTGTGTAGCCAACGACACGTGTGTCTGCAGTGTTTCATTGAGCCAAACTCGTCCTTAATCCAGATGCTGAATCTGTTTGTGGCCGTCATCATGGACAACTTTGAGTACCTGACCAGAGACTCCTCTATCCTGGGGCCACATCACCTGGACGAGTATGTAAGGATCTGGGCCGAGTACGATCCTGCTGCCTGGTGAGTGGCACACACACACACTCATACACACACGCTGTAGAAGTCATACAAATACAAATGCAGAAATACACACGTCAAGCAGCAAAAACAAGGTGACACAAACACACAGTGCTCATGTGTAACGTAAAACTAAGTTAGCAACATTACACATTAGATGTGTCTACACACATTTGGATAGTCGTATGCTGAAGGTAAAATTACTCTTAACCCCTGACTTTCTCTCCCGTCCCAAAACGGGGCAAAGACTGGTGTCATGACCTCATCCAAGAAGTGTTATGATGATACAGGATCTTCATCAAGTGATGATCTACATCATAGATGATGTTAAAAGTGGGTCAGTTAAAGCTGGCATGTCAGAGCAAAGAGTTATCCAGCTTTCTCCTTGTCTTTCTCTCTGAACTTTTCTACCTTGTTTCTCAAATTGCACAATTTGTGCACAGTTGAGATGAATGTAACCCTCTCCTCTTCCTCTTGTCCCCCTCTGTAATGAGTGTGTGTGGGCATGCATGAGAGGAAGGTGTCTTACACCTCTTTTTCTCAGTGTAAATAAATGCTCTCTCCTCTTCATCTTATCTCCTCTTTTTCTCTACTCTCTTTATTTCTTTATCTCTCTCTCTGTATTCTGTGTGTTCCCTCACCTAACCTCCCCTCCTTGTATTTTTCTTGCAGCGGGCGCATACATTATAAGGATATGTACAGTTTATTGCGAGTTATCTCCCCTCCCCTGGGCCTTGGCAAGAAATGCCCACATAGGGTGGCCTGCAAGGTTTGGACCAAACCCCTAAAGCACAAACTTAAACGCAACCTGCTCGCCTTTAAGAGACTGGAATGAATGTCGCTCTTTATCACTTTTAAAACAAATTCTTTCCTATTTCAACTTTTTATTTCATTTGGTTTGATTTTTCTGTTTGGGTTTGCATTATTACGTTGTTTTAATCTCATTTCACCATTAAATCATTTTTTTTGGGTGGGGGGGGGTTTCTGTTGTATATGCATTCTGACATGACAATGAGAATGTTTGGGACAATGCAGAAATGCACACACACACTCTTGTATACACTCACACACACACACACCAAGAGCGGTGTGTGAAGCATGAGGTGGTGCACTGCACTCGCTATTGTCTTCTGACTGAACGCTGGGAAAATGACACTGATGTGTTCACTTTAATTCAGTATTATGTAAACACTAGAGTCTAGACTCCAGTCAGCCATTGTCTTTGATTTATGCTTGCTGTCTAATTTTGCCTGGGCAGAAAATGGTCGAGCAATGTGCATTGTTCTTGTTTGAGTTGGGGTTTGGGTGAAGGACGTAGGGTTACTTTAGCACAGAGACGTATGCAGAGAGGGCTTGGTCTGAATACTCTCATAGCTGGTAGCTCGGCCAGTGTTTTCCCACCATGTGTCATCAGCAGGCTTTGATATAGTCACTCACACAGCTTACGCAAATTAAAGCGGCTGATATCAGCACCCGTTGTGGTTGATCGGAAGGAAAAACTGCAGATTTTTCTGCCTCCATGGCACATGTTTGTGAACCACTGTGCAAAGCATTCTGTAATGTTTATTTTTTTGAAGGTAAAAAGGTTTTAAAGCCACTCTGTGTAGATATTTTGTTATGTCTTTTTTAATATTACCACTGACATCCAGAAATCCTGCACACAGTGGCTTTAAGCATTCAAGGTATTAAAAACAGTTGTTAGGCCTCTTACAAGCTCTTCTTAAAGAGTGCACACAACAATACACAGGGCAATACAATATACCATGTCCACATTGTGACACATCGCTAAATCTTGCAGCAGTATCATGCTGAACTACCAGTGAGGAAGTTATTTTCTGTAAAAACAAATCAAATATAAAAATCTTAATTCTTAACTCACAGGGATCTACCGTAGGTTACATCTCCTTCTCATGGTACTCTTGTGTACAATAAAACCATTCCTCTAGTCTCGGATCGCATTGACATCACTTCCCCTGTGTGCCTTTGTTTTGTAAGCAGAGGGCTTGTGTTTCCCACATGCTTGTGTTGGCACACCTTGAGTGGAGAATGTAACAGGCCTTATGGTAACAGTTTATATTCACTGAAATACTACAATGATATGGCCAAACCTGCTCTGTTTGTGGCTCTGGTGTATGGGGAAAAAAGGAAAGGGGCAGGGTGTGTGTGTGGTTTGGGGCAGGGACTCTGGACTTCAAAAAGGTCTTGTGTCCACCAGGTCCCTCTTAATAACTTCCTGTGTCGTCAGATGCTCGTGGGAAGAATCGTCGGTCTTCTGCGTTTGCTTTATGACTGTCAAGATGGTTTTTTTAAGGAGCTGCAGTCTTTGGCTTAGAAATGGTTAAAAGATCAGTTCAACTAAATCATAAGAAAAAGAAAACCTATTTTACAACTTACCCCTGGTGATATCTAACCATGCAAATGGTTTCAGCTGTACATGCTGGGGTTTTGAGACATTATGTCTGTTCCAGTACCCACATTTGCTATATTTGAGAGTAGTCAAGTGCCTTCATTTGTGACATACTTCTGGTAAATGCCACAGTGCCCCTAAAACTGCAAGAGTATTAATATTTATATATTTAATACATTTATAAAGTAGTATTTATATATTATATATGTATTGCAGTTAATAAAAATACTTTATTATATTTACAATCAAATGAGGAGATGATAGATCATAGTAGACTCAGGACCTGGGAGGTAATAAAACAACTAAATTAAATGATCTAGACCCACATAGATAACAATCCAGGCAACAATACGATTTTCTCAACAAGCGTTTTTTGTGCTATTGGTCGTACTTCACTTGTTTGAGAGCTGTGAGACCAATAATGTGACCGGCTGAGTGCATTAATCCTCACACACCTGTTGTTGCGCTTGTATGATTAAAGTCCCACTGAATCTGTTCACAGTGAGGTCTACGGACTGGGACCCTGTTTCAGTGCTGTGAGCACCATAAGCTATATTCCATTCACCTCCATTGTATTTGAAGTGGAGACAGTAATCTCAAACCCTGGCCACTTAAGCCTAAACTATCTGTATAGGGAATAACCACAAGAGGTAAGTGACAGAACATTTTTTTATGATTAAGGAGAACTGACCTTCTAAAAGCCAAGACCTGCACTGTTGGGGCATCCCAACCCTTCCTGTCATCATCAGGGAGGTCTCCCATGAACACCTGGAGTCGCAGCTGTGAGCAGAGGTTCCTGGTGGACACGCAGCCTCAGTGACAGACTGCATTGACTTGTCATTGTGACTCACTCCGATCTCTGCAGCGGTGCTTTTCTTTGCCTGCTAGAAGCCCCGCTGCCAGTTCTATCCGAGCGGCGAAAGAGGGCAAAGACCTAAAAAATCCCAAAGCCCCTTTTCACCTCGCATAGAACGGTATCTCAACAACAACTAACTAAACTAAATAACACCTCCTCCTCCTACCCTCCTCTCCTTCCCCAACCTTTCTCCCTCCCTCCCTTCCTTCCTCTCCTCTCCCTTACTTTATGATATACCAGACTAGAAGCCACGTAACACACCCCTTCGTTCGCTCTCTTTCTCTTTCTTTCTCTCTTTCTCTCACCACAGCAACCACATATCCACAACGATCAAAACAATAACCTCTGTGTATTTGTTTCCCTCCCTCTTCCTTTCCTTTGTTGGTTTCTTTCTTTTTTCTCCTCATGTCTCCTCCTCCAAACACACCTCTGTGCGTCCTCCCCTCTCCCTATCCCTCGTTGTTTTTCTTTTCTCCGTTTTTACGTCGTCCGTCTACGTTTGTTCTGTCTGTCGTGTGTGTGTGTGTATGTGCCGATGTTTGAATGCATGTGCGCGTGTGATGTGTGTGTGTGTGTGTGTGTGTGTGTGTTTGTGGCCACCCCAGCGGCCGGATCAGTTACACAGACATGTATCAGATGCTAAGACACATGTGTCCGCCGCTAGGCCTCGGGAAGAGGTGTCCCGCCCGGGTCGCCTATAAGGTAGACTCGCCCCCCACCTTACCCCTCCACCCCCCTCAACCACCACCCCACCTCCTTCTGTCCCTCCCTTCTCCCATCATTCCTTTCTTCCCTACTCTTTCCCCTCTCATCTCCGTCCTTAAACCTCCCCATCGCTGGGGAGGAGAACCTCTTCTCTCTGTCCCCCACTTCCTTTCCTCCTTCTCCTCCTCTCCCCCTCTCCTCCACCAACCTCCCTCCCTCCTCCCAGCGGTGTTCTCCTCATTGTCTGTTAGTGGTGGTTGTGGTGGTGGTGAGCGCTGTCCTCTCTCCTCTCTCTCCGACCGCGGGGATGGAGGGATGGGCTTTTGTCGTGCAGTGAAGTGAAGTGATAGTGGAGTGGTAGTCAATCCTCTTTCTTTTATTTCCTCCCGTCAGGCCGCAGGAGTAAGGGAATGGAGGAGGCTTTGCTAGTCCTTCTGCAGCCTGCACGGACGCATGCACAAACACACACAATCCAGTCAGAAAACCAAAGACAGAGCACAGATCTGACAAAGAATTTCTCCTTTTCCATAACAAACGAAGGAACTTAGAAAGTAAGAAAACTTCCATTGATAGTTTTTAAATTGATGTTTGCATATTTTACCATACTGCATATTGCAGTATAAGTACATGATCTTAAATAAGCTTGTACAATTCTTCTATCTCTTCAGCCTGTTTTGTTCAACCGTTCAATATTTTTTGCATGAACTAAAGATTTAAGGCAAAACTATAATACAAAAAGTATAAATATAACTTTATTGGGTATAGGTATTATTATTATTTACACTACATTTTAAAAATAACATTCTTTAAATGATGACAAGGACCCCAGGATAACCAATTGCTTGTGGTAATTACTGATGTGAGCATATATATGGAATTATGTATGCTAAAATAAAAATATAGTTTACACAAGCCATTGTTTCACCAAATTTTTTTTAATAATTTGTTCATATGAAAATCTCTAGTGTAGAGGCCAACATACAACATCTAACATAAGATTATTTTAACCAGGGTTGTATTCACACAGTGCAAATATTTGCTTACGATGCGGGTACAGAAGGACCGGCAAGGGTTTCTGTCTTCAGTCCTGCGTCTCTTATTCCTGTGGATGGCACTATAGTGCACACATACACATGCCCACATTACCACACACATACACAGTTCTGGCCCTTCTAGTTTTTTGTCTTTTTTCAAGATACTTTTTTGACACCCAAGGAAACTTCAGTGTCTTTGGCTTCTCTTTGTGCCTCAGACCACCAGGGTAAAGATTTTGGTCGAGTATTTCAGCATCCGCTGTCTCTTTGTCTTGTTCTCCACTCTTTCTCTCCACTTCAGTAGAGTCCTACTCTGTCGATCTCTTCTTTCTTATTGGCATCCAGATTCACCAACCGTGTACTGAAAAGATGATTTTGGGCCTTGGGTGTTTCAGCAGAAAGTTCCCTTAATTTTGCTGATCATGTTTGTGGTGCCAATAAGCTCTGAAAAGAAGCACCACAAAGCAAATGTCTACATTACCAAATGTGTGTGCATCAGCTGTAAAAGCTATTGTACTTAAGCTAATTGATACAAAAGTAATATTTAAGTAAAATAGTCTAAAATTGACTTTATTTGAAATATGGAATTATCTGATCAAAGAATTTGACTAGACATCCATTTCCAGGTTGCAGTCCTTGACAGTTTTTGATGCTTGGGGCTTGCAGATTTTGGTTAGTACCAAAAGAGTACTATGTTTGATACCAAGTCCTACTAAAGAAGTCACTCTTCTTACTCGCCTAACTTGCCAGTGATGTTACCTGCATAATATTCTAACCACCTCACTTTGACAAAGTAAAAATATTCTACCACATAATACTCTTTATGTGTAGTGAGAAATGGTTGACTTAGATTGAATCTGGGTGTCAGTACCCTATTCACCTCTGTCTCTCTTTCTCTAACTATTGTCTTTTTCTTTCTTCTATTCTACTTTCTTCCTTTTTCTACTGTTTTGCTCTCCTCTTCACTGCTTTGTCTTATCTTTTACTCACATGTTCTCTCTTCTTTCCTACCTGTCAGCTTTCTCTCTCTGTCGTTCTTCTGTCCTTCTTCCACGTCCACTTGTCCGTCAGCAATCAGCATCCATCTTCATTCCTTCATAGCATCCCTCTATCCATCTAATGCCACTCTGTCTCTACCTTGCCTCTCCTTTCTGTTCCTTCTTCCTTTTGTCCAGAATGTCAACCTGTATTGGCAGTGGCCCCCATCACATACTTCAGCCATCAAAGCCTTCCAGTATTCATTGATACAGTTTCACAGAAAAGGTCCATTAAAGGACCTTTTGAGATCAGAGATTTTTTATTTTTTATTTTTTTTTCAGAACAGAGAGGGGAAGGTTAGACGTCTTGATACTGATCATCTTAATGCTGAGGCAAAGATCTTGATCTTCCCTTTAGTGGACACTAGGCCTCACACTTACTGGATAAATGTGTATCGCTACAACAACTTGTTTTTTGATCTGACCTCTTCTCAGTAAACTTATGTCAGTGTTGTTTTTAGTCCTCGTCTTTATCTCTTGTCTTGTTCTGTAATTTTCAGCCTCTCTCTTTTCTTTCTTTTCTATCTACACACACACACTCAGTTCCTCTCTCTGTTAATTCCAATTGACCCTCGTTCTCTTTCAGTGTTTTCACGATCCTCCTCTCCCTCCTCATTCTCGCCCTTCCCTTTTTATCTGTAACTACATCTCATAACCAAGCTTAGAGTCGCCTAGTTTAACTCAACTAACTGCTGCCCCTACCATGTGTCCCCTTTGATAGACCCCCCTCCCCTTATCCTACACTACTACTATTATGAAGTCTGGTTGGTCCAAAACAAAAACAGAAACAACGTCAATCATCTCTTTTTGATCTTCTATATGATTTTTTTTCTTCTTTCAGGGAATGCCACAACTCTAATCCTCTCTAACTCTGACAACCCCTTAAGACACTGCACCCGTTTGGCATTGAGAGAGATCTTATATGAAATACTTCCATCGCTGTCCAATTTGACTTTGATAAAGGGAACCATTCATGTAAAAATGTACAGAGCGAAAAAAAGATATGAAATGAATCTGTCAATCAGTAGGATCAATCCAGTTGGATTGAGGATACTCTCTTTGCGCGGATGCACGGCTGCTTGTATTGTGAAAGTGGGTTTTGAGGGAATTCGGGGGGTAGTGGGCTGGGTACTTGGGAAGAGTTGGGGCTTAGATTATGGGAGTGAAGTTAAGGCATGTTGCATGCTCTGTGTGTCCGGGTTTTTTCTAGGGGGAGTGTTTTGTGGTGTTGCATGCAATCCTTGCACTCTCTGTCGCATGGCTATGGGCGACATCGAGCCTGCCTGCTGCCTGCCGAGCGCTGTGGATGTTGGCCGATGCCCTCTGCCTGCCGAACACTTGGCTTTGGGCATGCCCGACACTCGCACACACTCAGGAACACACGAGCACGTACACAACCCCACCGCCATTGTACTGCCGTGCTTGCCATCGTTAGTGCCCAACGCTCATGTTCGTAGGTAAATCCGATGGATGCCAACTGGTTGGGATAGGAACGGCAAGCGGCCCCAGCTGGCCCAGCTTGTTTCGTTCTATCCACAGGTTTCTCCATTGGTTTTACCTGGTATAGACATGTAAAGACAGGGAACCTCCTTACAGGTAGGGGGAGCTCTATAGAAGATGCCTCAGTTAAATAAAACATCTGCAGTCTCCTGAAAAATTGCAGAATTACTCCAGTGATACTGTTATTGTTCTCCAGTCAACCTATTTTGTCTCCAAAGGACTCCAATTAAGCGCTCTTAATTGCAGTCTGTGCAAATAATTGTGTGTAAGTGGGCAGGGAGGGATGTTGGGGTTGGAGGGGGGTGGGGGTTTGGTGTATGTGTACTGTTATATATTTATACCTATATGTGTGTAACAACAGAGATGTGTAAATGCGCCAATGCATTCACACATTTAGGGAACATGGGCACAGGTTGGGTCGGAGGCCATTTTGGCTCCGATTGTTCTTCCTTGTGGTTCTCGGCTCTCACAGTTGCTTAGCAGCAGATGGCCCTCATTGGATAGCTGTGCTGTCTCGTAGAGTATCATTGGAAAAACAGGAGACGCAGGGACTCACCCATTCAAGTTTCTGTCCTCAAGCAAATGCCCTTGCACTTGCAAATGCATGCACTGATAAAATGTGCAGCAAACTTAACACATGCACACTCAACAGTCATTTAATATAGCACACACTTATAAGAGGACTCATGCCCTCAATTTGAAATTCACTGACTTGACTTATTAGGATACACTGATCAGATCTGTATCTAAAAGAATTATAGTGACACCTAGTCATCCTTGCCTTAACTTTGATCCGTCTCGGGGAACATTAGATAAAAGCTGGACCAATCCAGTCCGGCTCTAATTGGCTGTTGTCTATGGAGCTCTCTCAACCCCCGCCCCCCAATCCCTCACCCCCTCCCCTTCCTAGAGGTTCAGGCACAGCACACTTTAGCAAGGACACATACATTTCTCATCCTCTCATCCTGACTGGCTCTCCACAGAGGCTGCTGCGCATGGATCTGCCGGTTGCCGATGACAACACGGTGCATTTTAACTCAACCCTCATGGCTCTGATCAGGACAGCCCTGGATATAAAGATTGCCAAGGGTACGACCCTAAAGTACTATCATCCCTTTACTGTTTATCTCAGTTACTTTCCTGTCTGACATTATTGGGTATTCCTGGGTAATTCATGTGTATGACTTTTCACCTCTCAATTTCTGTCTGTTTCTCTTCAACAAGAATGCCCTAGATTATTGTAGCAAATGCGACTAAACTCTGACACTAACATTAACTAAATTACTTTCTTGTTTTGGGTGAATGTGTACACGCGTGAATGGCTAAATATATTTCTTTTGGCCTTTTGGTCTGTACCTCCTTTGCCCTGTGTTTATGTGTGTGGGGTGTTTGCATATACTTGGATGTATGCTTTTGTGCTGTCTGTGTGTGCAAATGTTTGATGCGTGTGTGTGTGTGTGTGTGGGCACTCTGGGTCGCGGGGCTACCCAGGCGGTGCAGACAAGCACCAGATGGATGCAGAGCTGAGAAAGGAGATGATGGCTATTTGGCCAAACTTATCACAGAAGACACTGGACCTGCTGGTTACACCACACAAGGGTAAGTCGCAGGAAAACAGAGCATAGTGGTGTGTGTGTGTGTCCGATCACCAACTCACCAAGAGGACAGCTTCCACCAGCCAGTGTCATTCACTGCTTCGCATCTCCTGATCAGGCTACTACAGCAGAAACACACCTGCTGTACATGCATACACAAACACACATACAGTACATACACCAACACCAATACCGCCCCAAGCAAACAATAGGAGTTATTAGTGTAGTGTCAAAGACATGACCCCTCACTGGCTTCGCACCCATTAACACAGTCATTTGTGTTTGTTGGAGGGCCTGTCTAAGGCAGAAGTACTGTTGCCGCACAGCTTGAACTGGTAAAATGACCACTAAGCCTAGAGGCTATACCAGCTACTAACAGGCAACAACATATGATGAATGCCCTGGTTACCAACAACAAGAAAGGTTGCAGGCCTGTATGAACCCTGGTGAGCTCAGCTCTCCTCCCACAGGTGCTTACCTCGTCCGTGCATCATTGCACAGCACATGGTTGGCAGCCGGGCTCTGCATCTTCTTACTTCGCCAACTTTGCACTGAGCTTGCCGTCAGTTTCAGTTTATTTAGTTTGACGAATAGACGCAAACAAACAACAAACAAAAATAGGTCAGTCATTATTGTCCATCATGCTCACTTGTGTTGTGGTAAGACCCACCTTTTTGATGTTTGGCAACCAATCAGTATAACAAAAGACAACCTGTGACTGACAGTACCACTACTGGGTATCGAACAGGGGGTTCTGCAAAGGTGGTTGTGAATGAGGTCCCTATACCACCTGTGTACTCTGCTAGTCTAGATTTAATAAAATATTACTTTACTTTTTGGCATTTTATGGATGGAGTCTTGCTAAACAGATCTCTCCACCAATGGTCAGATAGTGATAGAAAGTTTTCAAGTTCAGATGGACGATACATCTTGTAACTAATTGGCTCAAGTAGTTCCTGCATCATTTGTGTTCAGATAAACATCCCACACAGGAATGCACCACACCACAAATGTACAGCGGGCACACCAGCACATTTGTGTACACAGACACATGTAGCGCACACACCTGCACTGCTGATCTTTCCACACATTCAGTCAGTCCTGGAATCAGGGGGTGCCTGCTATAGAAGATCCTCTATAGAAGTCTTTTCACTACAGGAAGAATTGAACAGCAAATAAACTAGTAAAATAGATCTAGACATTCATATAAAATGATTGTGATGAATGACTGTTTTCAGGTTTTCATCTGTTTAGATTATTTAAATTATAGTGCTAGTGTAATGATGCATGTTTAGCATACCTGCAAGTTGTTTGCCTAAACGCATGGTAACTCTTAAGGTAAAAGATATGCATTGTCATGTCTTATTGCCCCATGATTTAATAAGAAAATAAGATATGTGGGTCATATCTTATCACACGTTAACATCAGTTTTGATGCTGCAAGACTTGTAGCCATGCCACTTTGAAAAGGGCACCACTCATTCAGTAAGAATGTTTTTTGACAACCAAAACAAAGCTCAGTATTTTTCTGATTTTAAATGTCTATGTTTTCCATCCAAACTCTGGGGATACATGTCCAGAGTTTTTAGAAAAAAATTGAGCTCCTGTTTTCCAGGGATCTCTTGTTTGAGGTGTCAAAGGGTTTCTTAGTGAGGTGGCTACCTAGTCCTCAGCCTTAGTATAATGTCTAAAAGTGAAATATATTCAAGATTAGAGGACAGCAAAATAATGAAAGAATGTCACAATGTATAGGGACAGCATCTGCCTGTGAAAAGACTATTGGCTTTGTTGTGTTAATAATTGTACAGTGTTGTAATATTGTATTTGTCTGTTGTATACCACCGAGTGAGCTCAGCTCTGTTTCAGTTGAGGCTTCACAGGGAATGTTAATACATTGGGTATCAATTTTCCTTCAAGACAACAAAAAAGCAAATTAGTGTCTGTTCTGATGAGTATTTTTAGTTTAAATGCTCATCACAGCTCCCAAATTTGGCAATTTCCATATTTTCTTGGAACCAACCTGCCGGCTGCACTTACAGTGCTCAGCAAACCAACGGACCATTTCTCTTACCTCTTTGCCTTGCTTTATTATACATACAGGTGTACATAATACCATTAGCTTTAGATTTTTAGGCATGAAAATCAGAATAATATAGTATCATGAATGCTGTAAATGAGCTTAGCCAATGAGAATGAGGTTGTCTTGCTCCATGGTTGCACGCAAGCATGAAAGTAAGTATGTTTGCATACATGTTATAATGAAACTTACAGTAACATAGGACTGGGAGATTGTGTGTGAGATGGAAGCTTACTTTATTGGACTTAAATTTAGGTAGATTTACCTCTATTTGTGAGGAAGAGGTAATTACATTAAAACACTTTTTTAGATTTTTTGCTTCTCCAACACAGTGTTTGTTTGCTCACAATTATTGGTCACCACTGACCCAATATTGTAAGTGAACTTACCTCGGTCAGCTGAAGTTGGAAACCAAACTGAGAAGTAAACATTTAGATTGAATTTGTGGTTGTGAAGCCCAGATTTGTCCAGGGATTGACATGAAACAGAATTGTCCCAGTTGTTGGTGTAATTTGCATGCTATTGTGAATTTTTCTGTGGTTTGTGATTCAATGTGTGTGTCTCGTCCCCCACTCCCATTCCCCCCACGGCTCAGGGTCCCATCCCACTCGGGTCTAATCTTGCAGGGTAACTTGTCATTTTTTCAGCAGCCACAGACTTGACGGTGGGCAAAATCTACGCTGCCATGATGATCATGGAATACTACCGGCAGAGCAAGACGAAAAAGCTGCAGGCCCTGCGAGAGGAACAGGTAGACTCCCTCCCAGAGAAACTCCCCAAACAAAAAAAGATCCCTATTTCCTTTTCCTTTTTTGCTTTTTTCTCCTCCTGGCCCTCTTTTTTGATACTGCTTCTAGCCTTTGGACTGAACTTTGCCTGTCAAATATGGATTTAAAAGCATAAGAACCATGTCTTATACATTTAAATCCTATATAAACTCCCAGCTACACTTCCGAACAAAACCCCTACCTCCCTCTCAGCCTGTGCTGTACCCTTTATTAGCATGCTACCTGAAAGTCTGCGTCCTTTTTCTAGCACCGTGTTGCTCCCTTGGTCAGCCTTATTCCTTTTACAATGCTTGCTAACAGAGGTATCTAGTTGTTATACTTTCAAGTTAGTTATCAACCTTTCCCCTTCCAGCTGCTTCAAGTTTTCTTTTCACCGTGGGCTGTTTGAAGGTGGTGAGGAGAATTAGGTGAAAGGTTTTCCAATTAACAACTATGGTTTTCGTTATTGGTAATGTTCTGAACAATGATGATGATGATGATACCACATGGCCTTACCTTTTGTTCCCTGTCAGTGCTCTTTCCCTCCTGTCGATGAATGCCTTTGAGATGCACTCGCTCCCGCTGTCTCTGTATTTTCAGTCCACACTGTGGACGTGTGGAAACATCTCTCCACTCATGTAATACCTCTGTTCGCTCCAGCAAGTCATCCAGTTGGTTCAGCACTTGATCCCAAATTTCACATGACAAAAAAAGTCCATATTGACTGACACATATTTCCTGAGGTGGGTTTTCCATTTTTCAGAACGGAGTGCATTGGTGGATGGAGAGTATGTTATTCTTTTTTCTTTCAAACTGCAAAGACAGTATGTGTTGGTATGTTCCTGAATGCAGCCATCCCATTGGACTGAATGGACAGGTGCACACAGGCTCTCTCAACATCAGCAGTACACAAGGACTTTAACCAGTCTGTGTGTCTGTCAGTTTGCCACCTCTGCAGTATCTCACTTCATTCTTCCTGTCTTCCGCAGTGGCCTTTTTTTTTAGTAATGCTATACCACTTTAAAGGAAGAATCCACTCAAAAACAAAAAATATCAAGGGCAACATTCTGGACTTCGGCAATCATACAGGGAAAACTCTTAAAATGCAACGGTATCCCTCAGAAGTACCCACAACCAATCAAAATATGATGCAGCATAACATGTGTTTTGAATAAAGGCTGTGGTTGGGATCACAGACACACCCCAGTGTTCACAAATGAGTTAAATATTTAGTATTTATGTGTATGATTCAAACAACAATGGTAACAAATATATCTACATATTTTAATAAAACATGCACATTTTATAATATAGGTTTAGTTATAATTACTATAAAGTCCTTATTGCATAACATAATAATAAACGTGAGGATGCTAGTCCTCCTTTGCATCACACGACTATATTATATAGCAATGTCTCAAGGTATCATAGCAGAAAATGGAGAAGCAAAGACTGAAATAAAAACAACAGAATTGTAGTCATTGCCCAAAAGTATTTAGTATAAATTATTGAGATCAGTTAAAGAGGCTGCACAAAAAGTGCCAGCAGAAAATTGTGAGAATCTGCTGAAAATGGTTTAAAGACCACCGCTCACAGGAAATTACAAAATAACTCCTGGTCTCAGTAACAGTAAGTGAATCAAGGGGTGGATTTTTTCTTTAACTTACTCATTTGTTGTGCTCTCCTTCACCGTTCCTCCTCCTTCTGTGTACTCCTCGCACCTCGTCGCATACCAACTGTCCTCTCCAGTGTTTGTTGAGCTGTTGTTGTGTCGGAAATATTTTGTTGTTTCCTCTTTGTCTGCTGTCTCTGTTCATGCATTTTCCTGTTTCTTCACTCTGTTTGGGCGTCAGTTGTCTGTAGTCCCCCGTTCCTGTCTTCCATGTCATCTCTGTCGTTCTGATGCGTTCCCTTTATCCTTCCAGGAAGAGATGAGACCTTGACTTATCAAGCTCTCGCTGTTTGGTCAATCCAGGTCGATTGTCACCAAGTTGCTCTAACCAAGACCCATTCTCTCCAGTCTGTGTGTTCATGAAGCTGTCTGTTTGCCTGTCTGTCTGCTGTGGTGGTTGATGGGATGTTGGGTGGAGGTTCCTGTGACCAGTGGCTCCGTATGTAATCAGTCAATCATGGGACCATTCATTGATACATATGCCACTGCTGAAACATACTCCATTAAAGCCGTTGTCTGTGTTAGGTGTTAGGTGTTTATGTTTTCGCCATAATCCATCTAAATGTTTGGACCATGAATTTTCCCAGGATGCATCACTGGAGCTAGATAGTGGCAAACAAGACTGTCCAGAGACGAACTTGAGTCATTTACCTCCGTGGCACAGGAGATGATGTCTGGACAGGATTAGACAAACCTCTGACAGAATCTAAAACATTTTCTGAAGCTGTGCTTCTCTGTCTGATCATTTATGTCACAAATATTCAAAGGAGGAAATAGAAGGCTTTCAGCTGACTTTCAATCCTAATCTACAGCTCCCTAATAGTGTGAATTGCTGATCGCTAACTATATGTCCGAACAAGCAACTCGCAGGCCTCAACAAAGTCCACAGTCATGGTGAATTTATGATCTTTTTTTAAATTATATTTCAAATGCTTAACTACATGAAGCTGGATCACAGATCAGCTTCTTGAATGCACAAGGCAACAAAACGTAGCTGCACTGCATAGATCTGCAGATATTTAGGTGTATCTTTGCAGAAATATAATTCTAGCTTAAGCCAACTCTCCTGAAACGACAACATGTAGTTCATTTGAGCACAGATGGGCTCACACAATTTGTTAATAAATCTTCCACATCAGCCATCACTTGCTTAATACCTTTGGCCTACTGAGAAAATCTACACCGACATCCCAACAGTCCAATCCCCAATGACGGCAAAATATACATACATTTGTTATTAGAGATGTAGGAAGCAACAGCAAAGCCTCTATTACCACGTTTATGACCAAGTAACTTTCTAAAGATCTGTTTGACTGATAAAACTTTAAGTGTCTTTTACATTTTTCATGTATATTGTAGAAAGCTTCCTGTCCAGCAAATCAGCCTGATGTGTCAGAGGAGGTTTGGACGTGTATCTGTTTCTGAACAGGCCTTGAACCATCTGCACTCATTTAGCATTCAGCCTTTAGCTTCCAGGCTGTGGTGGGACATGACACAGGCTGTAGCAGTCATGAGCCGTCGCCTTTAAGCCACTCCTGAGAGGACTCCATTACCCAGGATCTCCTGGGAGGGAACCTGACTCACCTCTGACCTGATGGAAGCAGAAGTTGCTAGTTCAGGATCAGATGTTTAACCACAAAACGGCATATTACTCAAAAAATATTGGCAGATGGATCACACAGATTGCCATATAATGATTTTTGAGTAAAATGTCTTTTTTGATGATGTGTTTCATGAATGTAGTAATCTGGTCCGAGACCTGTGATTTAAGAGCAATCTTACCTCAAATGCCTAAGGTAAAAGTTTCCCTCTGACACAGATCTGAGATCAGCTTTTCCTTGCTGGACACCAACCCAAACTAACATAAAGAAAAAAGATCTTAAAGCCAGCAGTGTTCCTTTAAACACTTGTTCAGTGTGCTTAGCAGATCCCAGATCAGTAGTCTGGCAAGGAACTTTACCTTGGATACCCACAGCCATGTGCTTGCCGATGGCGCCCCCGTGTGGGTGCATGCTGCGAGTGCATCCTGTGTTTGTGTCCTGTGTCTGCCCCCTGAGTGTGCCTGATGCCAGCCTGCAGGCCATGTCGTGTATCTCACACAGAACCGAACGCCATTAATGTTTCAGCGCATGGAGCCGCCCTCTGAGGGAGGGGGCACAGACGGCCAGGGGGGCCAAGGCCTGAACGGCCTCCCCAACACCCAGCCGGACAACCTCAACAGCATGTGAGTAGACTGGCCATGGGCAGGAACCTATACGTGGCACATTTAAAGGCATGAGGCAGCAGCAAATATGTATATACTTTCCCACACACATACATGTTCTAGTTATCTATGCATGCAACATATATAGTATATGCACTATATGCACACATAATCTGGGGGCATCTTGCTTCTTTTTCAGGGCAATGTTTTTTTAATGTTACATAATACATCAGGAAAATAACTTGACTTGCACCAGCTCAACCTCCACGTTGCAGAATTGAATTCAGTACTGCTTGTGTTAGAAATATAATCAGGAGGTGCAACTTTAAGGTTCAAGACATATTTTAAAAATACATACAATTTAACTTCACATCTGAATGAAAAGTTGAGTGAACTAAAGGTACTCGCATATATACAGTACAATACAATAGTACAGTATCTTCTTTATCTAACTTTTTTATTGTTTCTTCCTCTTGCTATGTGTCTGAGTGTGTGTGTGTGTGTGTGTGTGTGTGTGTGTGTGTGTGTGTGTGTGTGTGTGTGTGTGTGTGTGAAAGAGTGCAAAAGCAGGTGTGTGTGTGTGTGTGTGTGTGTGTGTGTTACTAAGTAAATTCTGTTGTCCCACTCAGTAGAGTCTTAGCCACAGAAGAAATGTTTAGACTTTTGACTTTTGGCTTGAGGGTTGGTGAGGTCATTCGGTCTGTAGCAACATACTGTAGCATGCCAGCAATTGTTCTAATATTAGCTTTGCAGGGGTTACAAAGGACAGGGGAGACTGATGAAAGTTTAGCCAAGTGGAGTTGTCACAATGTTTATTATTTAGGGCACATTAGGGTATTATTTATTTCTTTTGGCACCATCCTGAACGCCAAGTGTAGAATTATTTGTTTTATTGAAATGAGCTATAAATTAGTAGGCTTTACCTAAAAAAAAATGAAATGTCATCTCTGGTATCACCATTATATCTGCTTTCATTTTCAATTAACACTAGATTTTAAGACATCCTTTGGCATAGCAAAAGTCACCTGTCTCAAGAAAACATTGGTCTAAGATGTATCACTACACAACTGTGAATTTCCTCAGTCGAAGACCTCCCTGATTTGTAATCCCCTGACTTGTGTGTATGTGCGGGTGCCAGACCTCCCGAGGGTGGCATGACTGAGAGCCAGTCGTGGGTGACGGCCAAAGCCCAGAAAATGTTCCAAAATACGGGTAACTGGAGCCCCGACAGACCCTACCCCGACGATCTCCATGACAACCGTCACAACCCACAGGTATGATGAGCACAAACACACATGTGCTATTCACGACGCTGGTGGGAAACATTCTTCAGGATTACTGCTGTTGCAATGCATATATTAAAGGCGTCTCTACGGCATCACACTTATCACACAGTCATAAAACCTGACAAGAATTCATTTAAGTAATGGTAAATCATAAAAGTGTGAAAACAACGATCTCTACCTTTTAAATGATGTACAACTGGAGGCACAAACACAATTCTCTTTTTATCTGAGTTACCTCACATTCTTTTGTAACATATTGACACCAATTAACATAATATTCCCTACTTTATATATTGTTTTATCAATTAAATTGTCATAAATTGAATTTTGGTCACCTACCTTAGTTCCTTTAATAAAAGGTGAAATAATTTAAAGCTGTAGATCTCAATACTCTGAAATAAGATAAATTAAAGCAAGTTTAAGGCAAGTGAAAGGTAGGTATTTTATCTCAAATTATCTTTTATTATTCATATCTGACCTCAAAGGTGGTTGGATAAACATTTGATCACTCAGAATCCATGGGGCGTAATGTGTTCTTAATTGGATTATTTCATGATAAAAACATGAGAACATGCCAGATGTAAACCCAGTGTCTTCTCTCTGGAATTGTGCTATTTGAGTGTCATCCCTAAACACCAAGTTCTTAGCAACCTCCATTAAATTTGATCTTTTCTGTATTTGAAGTGCTGGATTTTGCTGCTGTTACTCCAGCGTACAAGACTGCAGTGTCTCTGTTCTTTGAGCTCTTTTCTTTTTGCGGACCCGCCTTTCTGTCTCTTTCTTCATCTTCCTGCTCGAAAGTCCACATCTATCGTATTCTCTTAGTCTTATCATCTTCCTATTCCTTGATTTTCCCTGTTCACTCCTCAACCTCCTCTTGAGTCACTGGCTTGGAGTTGGTAGATGTGTTTTGTGATGTACACCTTCTCCTCCTCACTGCCCCCTTACTTTCACTTGTCTGTTGGGCCATCCCCACTCCCGAGCCCCTCATCTCTCTCTTCAATCCCATGACTAATGTACAAAGATGTATGTGGATTTGGAGTTGTGCCATGTACTCTTTTCAAAAAAAGATTTGAGATATTTTCCTGGCCCAGTTTTGGATCCTTGGGTTTGCAGGTTCATGCCAGAAAGGTCCCAATGTTTCCGAGGATGCTTTTCCCAGTGGTGAGGTCTTGGTCCACGATCCAGAATGAGCGTTCACACAGAGGTCAATTCAGAACAGGATTTAACCCACAATGTTGAGGATAGAGTATCAGGCTACTCTTATCAATACCAACCTCATCTAAAGGTTTCAGAGGCTCAACAGTAATTTATTAAGGTTGCAACTGGGGCTGTCACAATGTCAGATTTTCAAGGCCTAAAGAATTCCTGATAATGTTATTATTATTATTATTATTATTATTATTATATAAAAAAAAAAAGTGAAATAAAGAATAATATCATTCAAATATAGCTTTGGCTTTTATTGTGTTTTGTCTCTTGTTGGCAAAGGACCACTGGCAGCCAGTGTTAAGTTGCATTACTGCCACCTACTGTGTATCAATATTTCATTTTAAAATCAAGATAGGTATATTGTGACAGCACTAGCTTCAACAGTTAATTTATGCAACAATAAGTTGCATAAATGAAGACAGAATTGCTTGAAATTGAAAAGAAAGACAAAAAAGGAACATGATAAACTTTCTCAATACATCACTGAATGTATTTCATGTCCCTTCCACCTCAGTTAGCACCTCCCTCGATTAATCGACAACGCCTCCCCCCTGCCAGAGTCCCCTCCCCTCAGCAGACAGTGGTCACGCCCCCCTCTCGTTGTGTTTTACAGACGGTAGAGATGAGGGAGATGGGGCGGGACGGGTACTCCGACACTGAGCCCTATCACCCAATGGATGGGCATGGGCGGACCCTCTCCATGCCCCGCCTCTCGGCAGACAACCAAGTGAGCACCTTCATCTCACCATCATCACCAACAACATCATCATCATCATCATTCTCCATTACTATGCTTGTTAGCAGTATGGACAGTTGAAGTGAATTAAAGAAGTCTCTCCTTGCATCCAAAGCGGAGAGTCAGAGAACTGAGTCAGAAATAAAGCAAAACCTTATTTTTTAAATACCAAACAAATAGGTACAGATATGTTGTTAAATACATATCTATTGATTTGTTTTGGCATTTCTTTTCTCTTTACAGTTTTACAGAATAGTGTCAACTAGTTCTTTTTTTTAAAATCATTTTTACTATATTTTAATATTTACTCAGAATATATTTAATACATTTTTGATCAAATCATTTCAATATCATACTTTTGTGTTATGTTATTTTTATTATGGCTCTAGTTCTCTGCATGGGACATTTCCTGCTAAATGTTTGGACAGGATGCAAAGTGGCAGTGAGACTTTTGTAAATTCACTTCCCTCTGTCTGGCCTCCTAGTTATTT